CTACTTCCTATAACTAACTAATATAATTATAACTAGGTTAGTTCCTACTATTATTTATTAATTTAGTTACTTCTACTATGTTTAATACCTATATAAACTCTATAGAGTAGTCTTAGCTTAGTATATTATATACTAAACTATAAGTACTATTATATCTACTATATATACTATTATATATTTATCTTTTAGTCTATTCTATATTCTCTTTATAGTAGCTTTAAAGATTATTAGTTCTCTATTATCCTTATAAATATAGATTCTAATATAGTACTTTACTTTTATATTTATCTTCTTCTATATAAGGTTATAATAAGATCTTATAAAAGATAGGATCTCCTTTTCCTCTTATTAAAATAAAGCTAGAGTTTACTTATTATTTTTAATTACTTAGAATATATTATTAAAAGTAAGATAGTCTCTTATATTATTAAACTAGTCTCTTTAATTCTCTTTTTTTAAGATAGCTATAGGCCTCTTTATTATTCTTTAATCTAAATCTATAATTTCTTCTTAAAATAAAATAAAAATAGTCTCTTTCTAGTTTCTAATTCTAAAGTAAAATATCTTCTAGTAGTTTAGTATATTTAGATACTTTCTCTAAATAGAGCTCTATTCTAAAGAGCCTATAACTAATATATAGTAGTTTTATAAAGGTATCTACTTCCTTTATAACTTCTTTTATCCTTCTAATAATATTTTCTCTAAACTAGGACCTTTCTAGAAGAGCTTATAACTTTAGATATTAGTTATAATCTTTATAACCTTAATAAGTCCTTTTTAGGGCTTAAATATATCCTTCTCTTCTAAGGATATAATATATAGGGCGTTAACTTATAGTATTTTCCTTTTCTACTTCTTTTAAAGCTTAGTAGATATAGGAATAACCTATACTACTAGAATCCTTAAAGTAGTTAAACTATTAATCTAGGCTTATAATCTATTAATCTAAAACTACTCTATAGGATTTATATAGATATTAAATATAGTAGAAGTAACTAAATTAATAAATAATAGTAGAAACTAACCTAAATATAATTATATTAGTTAGTTATAGGAAGTAGAAGAACTAAAGTAAAATAAGCTCCTCTTAGTTATATAACTCTTAGTATAGATACTTTAGGTATTTATTCTAGCCTATCTATCTAGACTATACTATTTAATACCGCCTACTATTAAAGAGGATATAGAGTCTACTAAGAATAGGATAGTATTAGAGTACTAAACTAGATATTATTCTCTCTATTACTTAAAGGTATAATAGTTAGTAGTATTAACTTCTACCGAGCTATACCGACTGTTTGCTCCCTTCGATCGGGAGCTAAAGTCTACTAGACGGTCGGTTTAGCGCGTCTAGCGGATTACGGGCCGGACGAGGCGGCAAACCTAGGAATAGGGCGGCGATGGATTGCGGAGGTGGCGCCTATTAGCATCGCAGAAACCCGCCATGTGAGAGGAACAACGTTTTCTAGGCGCAGAGCGGTATCCAGCGTTACGTGAATGTCGGGTGCAGAAGGGTGTGTTGTGTTGACCGCAAGTCTCCTTGTCCATGTGCGAAGAGGAAGATATTCCTAGACATGACACTACATGTTTCCTGTTCCTGAACATCACTACCTGGCTATACCCCGGCGATTGTCACTTAAGCCTTACTATCCCAGCAAACCGACCACGACGACTGCAAACCACCTGCAGGATGCATCACCGAGTCCAGGAACAACGTGCCAGACTTTAATGGTGTTTGTTAATCCCGCTTATCACCGGTAAGGCTAAAATTTAACATCATCATAACTCGAGAGGTATGGATATCAAGTTTGATATCTTACCGACTGTCTCAAGACCATTTTCAACTTCTCACACCAAAGAATACGAGTCGCAAAGACCCACTATTAGAACAGCGACCAGCGTCGTTTCGAGTACCAGGGGAGCTCACACCTGATCATGACATGATACCGAATGAGTTCCTGCCGCAAGATGCCATGCCATGAAGCCGACCGAAACCTTCAGATCGGCGCCGACATGATGACATTCGCGGGCCTTATGTCCTCTCTCGCAAACACCGGACGTGAAGTGAGACCACGTCGACGCTGCAACGACCTCACAAGAAAGGTGATGGAGTAAGACCACGTCGACACTGCGAAGCGGAAATACCATGGACTGCATGCCTTGCCTCTGTGAGTTGCTTACCTCGTACAGTGCCTGGAGCACTAGAAACTAAATTCGAGGACGCCGTCTCGAGGCGTCAATATTCGACGATTGCCTTGATTAGGAAGTCGTTCATATAAGAGACGATCCCCTCAACACTAGAAAGGACTGCCTACGAATGCTTTGGACCCAGGACCCGGCCTCCGTGGGCGAATCGAGATGTGAGTGAAGAGTAGTCCCTGTTCCACCGGTGACATTGTAACGAATGACCACTATACTAGTCGGCTGCAATTTCACTTCTGCTGCATTACAATGTGACGACAGTTCACAGATACTACCCGCGACCTCGTCACCTCATGCTAATTCTCTCTGCAAACTTCGCCTAGACCTTTCCAAATTCTCGACACCATCGTGTGCCATTGAAAGCTAACGAAAACGTTACGTTCAACGAGCGACTGCAACAACACACTTCCTTGCGCTCACGCTCAACCCCACCCAGTCGAAAACCTCCCCAAACTATCCACTTCCTCCTCAACCGCAAGTCTTGTGGTTCGCGCCGTCATCGGTCATAATTCACGTCAGCGTGTTGCCTTCGTATCCACTATCGCCGGCGACAATAACCTGCACGCACTCATCCTCATAGTCGATCATGTACTCCGAGATGGCATGCGCTGCTTGAGCCCATTGATCATCGGTCAGCGTAAAGTTGCACTGGTGCGAGTCGTACCCGCTCTCCACTTGGAAGCTGTAGGCCGTCACCGCAGGGTCACGCTTCGCCAGCGTTGGCGTTCGCTTATCGACCGTGGGTGTAGGCAGCGCCCGTTTGGAGTCGCTGCCGGCTTGGACGGTGGCAGAGACTGGCGCGCCGCAGGTGCCGTTTCTCCAGGCGTTGGTGAGATACACGGCCGCGGCCGCCGAGGTGATCCCAGCGGTCCAGACTAGGGCGATGCCGCTTGCCACGCCAAGGCAAAAGGTGTAGGACCCATCCGCTGCATGAACGTAAGTCTTCGCCAATGGGAAAGTGTTTCGCGGACATACCGTTGTTGACGGAATAAACCAGAAATCCACCGCCAGGGCAGCCGATTCTCTTGTCGAGTTGCTTGCCTGGCTCCTGCACTGCAACACTTGGGGCGGCGAATGCACTGCTCATCTGTAGACCCAACAGGGCGCATGCGAGTTTCGGAGAATGCATGGTTGAAATACTTGGTGCCTGCAAGAAGAAAGGTGGAAAATGGTGGTTGAGGAGGAGGCTCGAAAGACTTGTTGCGAACTTCAACGTCAATAATTGTCGACAACGAGTAATATATAGTAGCAAGCTAGAGTAGGAGAAAGGCTTGGATCGGTCGATATTGAACCCAGTCCATTTGACCGGACTGAGATACATGTAACGTGCCTAGCCCGTCTATACACGATGTAACCTCCTATTCTTTAGTCAAACGAAGTTTGTAAGATACATATCCTCTGGCTGCAATAACCGATCAACGGTCACGACACAAAACCAACTACGATTTGACCAGGACCGATCGATACGCACTCTAGGTGGAGTCCTGTATGCTATCCACGATGTCACAATCCGCTCCTTCGTCCTGTATGTTCCGATGTTTGGATTGTTGTTGGTGCTGTAGAGGCCGTATGTATCAGCAGGCTGAGACGTCCACCGAGAACCTCCGTCCCGCCGTGGCGACACAACCCGCCAGAAGAGGCAAGATGTTGCTTTTCACTCACCACCCATCGAGTTGCTATTCCTGTTGAGCACACCCAGAAATCCCCAACGATCTGCTTTCCTCCAATTGCTGTTCATGTAGGCCGAGCTCGATGATGTTGGCGAAATAATTCGAAGTTGACTAGCACAGAGATGTGACTCCAGAATCCCCATGCCCGACGTGACTACTCTTCGCCACTCAAACGTGAAGTCGATTCCACCACTATTCACTCCAGCGTCGATATGCACCTGCAGTTACTAGTCAAGGCTTGGCAGCTATTACCAACAAGCTTGGCAGCGTTACATAGCATTCCGCATAGCCTCCGAGTACCAATCTTCTTAGTTTGCTGATCCTTCCACGATCCTCCTCGCTCGAAGCGGCAATTTCCCTTGCTGGTCTGCATGTGTTTGAGAATACAGCAGCCTGGACCACCCCAATAAGGAAATACCAGGCTTTCGGCATGTGCTCTCGAATCGCGCTACATCTCTCGAACTAGTTCGACTCCCGTGCATGAGACCAACACAGACATACGACCCGTCAAACTGCTTCGGGAAGGTACCATTATATCGCGGCAGCACGTTACGCATGACATGGATAGAACGAGCGCGACAACGCCCCACATTGCCAAGGCTCTAATAAGGGTTAGCTGCATAAGCAATCCTTCGCAGCCTGTCGCCACTTCCGAATGTGACCCAAAGCGGCAGGACATTACCAACAGGCTCAACCTAAGATTGTCAGCTTTGCATGGGCCCTTGACTAGGTGCGTTGCAGTGCTCATTTACATCGTCCATTGAAATTCCCTGTTTCGACAATGCATTGTCGTCTAAGGATGTCGGATTCGGTTTTCGCGCGAAAGGTGTAAGCCCTGGATGGAGAGCAGAGGTTCAGGGAAACCAGTGTTTGATGGAAGGAGCTAGAAGGGAGAAGTGATGCTATGTCATACACATCGCTAGCCTTCCGTCACATGAATCCCGTGGCAACGCACATGATCAGGTTTTATCATCAAAAGTCGGCGGTTGCGTCTCGTAGTTTCGGCGATGGTAGGTCTTCACATGCCGCAAGGGAAAAGGCAAGGGCAATTCGAAATCTCTGCAAGAATTTGAATCCTATTGTAAGAAGCCAGCGTCAGTCACACTCAACACAATGGTTCTGTTCTAGCAGACGCTCATGGCTCTCAATTGATGGATGGCACGTGCACGAGATAAACCACTCGTAACATGATCTCCTGCCCTACAGTCTAGACCTAACGGAGATGACGTTCTAAAGGCGGGCTTCATCCCAATGCTACATGAACATGCGGTGCTGTAGGCTAGTGTCCCGAAACTATGACCCATGCTTCACCACCCACAGCCATTGCACTACTGCGCCGCCCGACATCTCGCTCCATGTACAGGATGTCTGTCACCTACACTACAGCCAAATCCGAGTCCCTTGGGTTTGGGACGCGGTGCCATCAAGTCTGATCGGCGTAGAATCTCTGCGAAGAAGGAGTGAGCCAAAAGATAATCCTTAGAGACGGCTGCCCCCGTATAATGCAGTTGTACACCCTATGTGGCTATGCCCGACGGAGAAGCTCCTTCTCATTCGTAGTTTCGGTCCGGGCAGCCTTGGCAAGCACATGGTGGAGGACTTGAATCAAGCTAAGACATAGCTGCGGCTCTGTCGATCGAGCAGTCTATAGCGGCGTGCTTCAGCTCCACATACTTTACATTGGAATCCTCGATCCTACCCGTCTACCTACCTAGCGTCAAGGCCCTTGACAAAGCAGAGAATGTGGAGTCCGAGACACCTTGTAGGACGTCGTTAGCGGTGCAACAAGAACCCCCGACCAGGGTCGGCACATCCAAGGGCGAGGACACGACAAGGCTATATAAAACCCGAGGGAGACCTCCTGTCTCAACCCTATCTCATCCAACAAGTCCAAGCTCAACATCCACACAAACCCCCCAACCCCCCACACCATGATGTTCAAACCCACCGCCCTCCTAGCAGCCGTCCTGCTCGCCACAATCGGAATCTCCGCCCAGGCATTGGACTCCGCCCTCTCAGCCCGCGACCCCCAGCCCTACACAGGCTGCGACAACATTGGCGTCGCGCAGCAGGAAACCGACACGGCGGTCAACAACCTCGGCTACTACGGCAACTACAGCACCTTAAACTACTACTCCTGCGACTGCGACACGGTAGCCTTCTTCTGCATCTGGAAGTCCGGCCCCATGCTCAACAGCACGGCCATGAACAACGTGCTGGCACACGTCACGACTCAGTGCGGTCCGTACCAGGTACGTTACAGATAGACAGACAGACGAATGGGAATTTGTGGAGTGCGGTGGCGGTGGCTGACATGTTTCGACCAGGCCGGCTCGTCCTCTGATGGACCCAATGACAATAGGACCTATTCGTATGGGTACACCAACTGGCGCAACAAGGACTACTGCAATGTCCCTGCGGGCACGAGGATCACGGCGTCGAACCAGGTGCACAATGCTTAGGTGGCTTGGCGGCAGAATTTATGAGATGGATGAGGTTGGAGGACTAGGGGGGGAAACGATAATGGGGGAAATGCGTAGATGAAGTTTTAGGTAGATGGTTTGAAAACATTCGCTCGTTAGTTGCGCAATCGCAAGAGCCACTCATTCGTTTTGGCTTTCAATTGTTGATACAGTATGCTCCCTTCATTCGCCGTTTGGACGGCCGAGAGATTTGAAAATATTTATGTCGGAAATTAAGGTTCATCCCGCTAGCGTAAGATAGTAAGGCACCAAGGCAACAAGGCAGAAACTGCTTAAGCGTGTGATGTGACAGGCCGCACCCCAGAGACCAACGGGAAGTGATAGAAGAGTAAATGACATCATCGAACTCGTCTCGAGACTGCGACCGCGTCGAGGCTGCGCCGGTGTAAGATTTACTTTCTTGCATGTGACATTATCTGGAGTGAATGAGAAATAAGCTTTACACTAATAACACGGACTTCATGTTCTGCCAGATTTTACGGTCGGTGTGAGGCTGCCAGTGAAAGAGTCATTCCAAGCACTCGCAGGCTCATCGAACATGCCCGGGGTTTGCGAACCCAGGAGTGGTCTCGTCCGAAATCGGAATGATATGCGTTAGTCGGTGTTAAAGGTCAGCGAGAGACGGGCTGAGAAGTTAATGGCGGGTGTGGTACCTACCAAAAGGTGAAACGATCGATGGGAAGAACATTAATCAAGCGTCCAATCGAATCCAACCGGAGTTTTGTACGTGCTGTTCATTGTCTGAAGCTTGGCCATCTCGAACGTTGAGTAAAAATACACATCAACCAACTAAGGTTTCTGCCTTTGCAATGGCCACGAGCTTTGCGAGTCCCTCGGTCTCTTGGTTGTACCTGAGAGTGACAGTGCCCAGCGATGTTGGCTGCGACTCGATGATCTTCGGTATCTCCTCTACGTCCTTGGGCTATCCAGATCAGTCGCAGCGACCAGCACAAGCTGCGATTTCAGACCGAGCTTTCTGGAACTGTAGTGCGCTCTTGCCATTCATCATGGAACAGACATACAACCCGAATTCGGTCGAGGGCGCCGTGAAGACTGCAGTCAAGATAGTAGAGTAGTACAACAAGCTAACCTGACGACCGATCCCCATCCGCTCGCCCTTCTTTCCGAAGTGGGTTGACCCGACCCTCACCACACACATACGCGGTAGTCAATCGCAGCAGCGGCGGGTGCATGTGCTCTTCAAGCCGGTCACAAAAAGCGTCTCCGTCCTCATCGTCGAACAAGGAGCTACTGCCGTCAAAGCCGCGCGAAGGGCCGAACTCCCCGCCATATAGCGTGGAGAGATCGATATCGCAGCTTTTGGAGTCTTCCTTGATCGAGCGCAAGATCTCCACGGTGTCTGCGAAGCCACCTTCGTTTACAGTGATGTCGCATAGCCTGATGTGCCTCATGCGGTATCGGGGCAGGGTGCTGATCATCGATTCGAGGTCCGAGCCGGACACTTCGACGTTTAGTATCTCGATACGGGTGAGTGAGGAGCTGTTCAGTAGGCGAAGAAAACTCCCTGCTTGGTAAAGTAGGTCTGGAGAGTCCTTTCTGCTTCCACACACCCTGAACGGACACATGGAGATGTAGACAGACTCAAGCTCAGGGCTCGAGCAAGTAGTGCCCAAATACCCGTTTATGATATCGCAGTTCTCCGGGGATATCCGCTGCTCTCGATATGGTGTACAGTGCATGCCCCTTCGTCCAATCTGGAATGTCTTCAGCTCTCGACATGCTCCTGACAGCTCTGACCAGATGGTCGGGCGGTCTCTCGTGGAATCCGACGGAATCAGAGAAGTGAAAAGTGTCTTGAGTGGAAAGCAGCCGATGTCTAGTCCTTGCAACGGAACGCCTAGCCGTGCGCATGCGATTGGAAACTCAACGAGGAGTCTTGCTGGGAGCAGCGTCGCTTGTTCGATCTTGGTCTCGGCTGACAACCAGTCATGGGGTTGGAGCATGTGCCGTGCAAGAAGATCATTGTCGTACGCCACCGTCACGGCATCGCTTCTTGGATATATGTCCGCCTCGTCCACAAACGTCAGATAGGCGGAATGCTTGAACCGCGCCATCGCCGTTGCAATGGTGTTGACGAACGAGCCGTCGTTGACGATCTCCTCCTCATCTTGCTGCCGGAGAGCGTACCTTGCGAAACAATCCCTCAGCAGCAGCTGACATGAGACATCTGCAGTTCGACATGCCCCCGGCTCCACGCACTGCCAGAAGCTCTCTCGGATAAGAAACAGACGATCTTCAGCCGCCAGAAGAGCCCGGTGGTTGACTGCAGCATCCGATAAATCTTCATCCTCATACTCTTGGAATTCCGTATCATAATGACAACTCCTCCGAAACTCGTCGACCTTCTCCGTCACAGACTTGCAGTAGGTAGCCAAGCTCGTGGCAATAGATACCGGTCGGAATGCCAGGTTGATCTCTACCGCTCGCATCCCCTCTGCAATGAGAGGGTTTCGTGAAAGACCCTTGATCCGCTCCATGGATGTCTTGTCCAGGGATCCGCGAAAGACCGGGCAGAGCATGCCGCTGACGAGCTCGTTGAGACCGCGACATGTCAAGCGGCAGGCTTGCAAGGTGACGAGGCCATCCCATTGACGCTGTGCAGGACCGGAACTGTGAATATCGACTTTCCTTTCGAAGTAGCCGAAAATTTGTGTGGTGATGTCAGGCGGAAGATCTAGAAGGCGAGGCATTGTGTCCGCTTGTGTAAGTGGGCGTTTTGGGCAGAAAGTCTTCCGTGACGAAGCGTGGAAAGTAATGTCTTCGCTTTTTCAACTGCTCCCACTTTGACTCATCAATCGAATGAGGCTGTGCAGTTACCGTATCCGCTAAGAAACCTTAACAGCCGACTTCCTTTCCAGATTCTTAGATCGCGGAACAAGACATATGCAATCTCAGAAAGTATTTTGCTCGGATGAAGATAGTAGACTTACGCTCTATCGCAGTAGGTTGTGTCAGGAGCGTCTGCTGTTACATTCGCTGACGTCCGCAGTTCTGGATCCCCCTGAAACCGAATCGAAGCCTTGCTGGTCTGCAGCAGCGTCACCACGATGAGTTTGAGCAAGGGGATTCAGCGATTGGAACACGAGGAGCGAGTGACCGGGTGGCGATTGGAGATTTCTCGAGCATGTATTTCAACATCTGCATAGGCATTCTGGCGCGCACCTGCTAAGGCGATGGGCTGTTTTCGAAATTATCTGAATGTCAGTGGCTGCGTTGGTTGCTACAACGCTTTTTGACCTGTCCAGAATAGTATTCATAAGCAGTAGAAGGCTCTTGATATCTAGTGACGGTCTGAGCACCGAAAGCTTGATCGTCCCGACGACCTCTGGTTGAGCCGTTGGCCTCTCGTCAACGGAGTGAGATCTCCGTTTCATAATGGCCTTCGGTAATCTTCGTTACACGATGGTGCTAGAATTTTGGCTCTGTGCAAACCTTCTGTGAGAGCTCTTCAGGTAACCAGCCCCTCGGATGTCTCAGAATCATCCGGATACATGCCCCCCTTAATCTTTCTAGCAATCACCCCCAGACGCCACCACGCCCATCTCCAACTATTCTCGACTTCCAGCTGTATTCGCAGACCATTACTATGCTCGCCGACTGGGCCTCTCACGAGCGACACCACCACGGCAGACCGCCAGCTCAACAGAACGTGGCGATATAACCCCTTCTCTGGGAGATCATACAAGTGAAGGTGCTCGCCGAAGCTGGGTGTTTCATCGATATTCCGCCCGTGCTCCTTATCGTTCTTCATGTTGTAGCTGGATCGGGGGCCGCGTTCGAGGCGAAATCCGAATGGTCCAATGAGAGGATCAAGGAGCCACAGTGTGAGGGTTGCATCGCCCGCTTTGTTTCGGCGCATGACGTGGATAGTTCGTGTTTGTTCGTTCTCGGTCGGGTCTAGAAGAGTTGTTTCGTTGTTCCACATGAACAAGGGCTGCAAGTCCACCGCGGCCTTGTCGTCGCTCGGCAGGAGGAGCTGCACTGGCAATCTACTATGTGGACCAGGGCCTCCATGAAAACTCCCCAGAAAGGGAAAAGGGCGAACCATCATCTTCGTGGTTCGCACGTCTCTGGTATCCACGAGCCCTGGACTCAGACTTTCTCTGATGTAAATGATTTCGTGTATAAACGAGCACTCCAGCACTCCGCTGAAAACGGAATTGCCTCTGACTACGTGGTCCAACTTCAGACAGACGTAATGCCCCGGCATCTCGAGGTTGGCGCAGTCCAGTATCGCATAACGAAAGCCAGGAAAGGACATTTGCCCCATCTGAAAATCCGCCTTAAACAACACGGGCAGTGTGATACTCAGTCCTTTATGGTTGAGCTGATAAGCTTCAACATCGACGCCAGTTCGCTTTCTCGGCACAACCGTGGACGACTGCGCGAAATTTGCGGGAGTAGGTGCTAGTATATCAGGACACTCTCTGCCGTTCCAAGCGAAGATTGACTGGTCTGTCGAGGTACGAACTATTTCTTCTTGGAGTCGCCTGAAAGCTTTGGCGCCTTCGCCATACAGCAACGGCATGTTGATGTCGAATATGCCGAGTAAGCAATAGGCAATATCTTCCTTCCGAGTCGTGGTTCTTGTCGATGCCCATGACATTTTGACAGCGATGCCGATGTCGCTCAAGGGGACATCATGCGTGAGAACTTTGCTTGAAATGTTTGTGATGCTTGTGATATCGGCCATCAAGTCGGGATGTGATCCACTGGAATTCACAAGCGGTGGTTTCTCGCCGATCACGTCCCAGTGCACGTCGTATAATACCAATCTTTCGGGGGCCAGGAGCTCTTGGAGGGCTTTATTAAGACGTCAGTAGATGCAATGCATCTGTTGGTGAGAACTTTGGCCCTTACTCCATCCACGGGTCCACCACCGGCTTGCTCTAAAGCTCGATAGGAACCCGGTCTCTGCGGACAAGTCTTCGGGCTCGTGGTCGGCGTCTGTGCTGACAGTGCTTGGTGCTCCTTCTTGTTGGTTCAAGTCTTGACTGCTTGGGCTCGATGCTGATATCTGGTCTCCTTGTTGCTCCCCCTGCGGATCATGGACCTGAACGTCCGGCATGAACACATAACAAACATCGCTCTTCTGATACCACTTGAACATGGAGTTAATCGCCTCAGAAAGCTCTGCGGAACTGGCCTTGTCAATACAGCAGGTGTCGACCCAGGCATACTTTAGTCCGTCTATCTTAGCCTGGTCGCACGTCAGGTGGATCTTTCGCCAGTCTAGTCGCTCCTCGTCCTCTCCTGGTCGGTAGTTGATCAGTTCCAGATATTGCACCTCATTCTGGCCCCAAGTGTGCGAGAGGATCGCATACTTCGGCGCAGATTCTTCGTCGATGAAGCTCTCGAGCTTCAGGGTGTGTACGTTGATCAGGCGCATCGTTCCGCGGCTCAGCCGTGATTCTTGTGGCTGAAGGCAAAGTGCCTTCCCGGGCTATCTGAACAGGAGTTGTAGCGATGCGAGAGTGAGTGTAGAGATCTCGTTTCGTCGATGTAGGACAAAGGCTGCGTCACGTCCAGGTCGGCTGTGCCTGCTTCGCCCCCACGGAAGCTTAGAGGGTTGAGGCGTGCATGTGAACGCCACCGGGACACGCCGACAGTCATCATTGGTCTGCGACATTCGAGAGGCGGGATATTGCAGTTGCCTTCATTTTGTCTTGCAAACTTGATATATTTGTGTCGAGACGCTCTTGAGGCATCGTTCCGCGACTAGACTCAGGCACGAAGGAAGGCATGCGTGAAGGGAAGGTGCACCTGACTTGGAAGATGTGGTCTCATTTCCGTCCCATCACAAGCAGAAGAACACAAGCATGGCACCAGTCACTGCTGGGGACCACTTGGTCCGATACGTCTCCACGAATGATGGCAAAGTGATATTGGGCGAGCCCATGGTCAGCGAGAGCAAGCCGGATATCGATGCCCTGGTGCAAAAGGGCGGATTGAAGGTCAAAGTCCTCACGCCTGACTTGGAAGGTATTTTCGGTACAAACGCCTGTCAGGTCCAACGTCTGGCTGGTAGCTCGCTGGGAACCGTATTTGCTAGGGAGTTTAGGCCAGTAGCCTTAGCAGCTCTTGGGGCTTGAGTGCCAGAAAAGCGAGGCCAGTGGGTTTTGCCAATGCCATTGCTCGAATGTGACAAGCGTTTTTACCAGAACAGTAGGAGGTATTGACACTCGACAGACGAGTCTACCCAACATAAAACTACCGCAACCCCATCAAAGCAGCCACCCGATCCCTCTTCCGATCACCATACATGGCACCATACTGCTGAGCGGCAAGACTATTGTCATAGTGCCCCTGCTGCTGTTCTTGACTGACAAGGCCCTGATGCAGTATTTCCTTCTGCTCGGCCTCGTAGGCGGCTTGGTTCTGAGCGAGTTGCTGCTCTGCGCTCCCGCCTTGGTAGTGAGTGTTGGCGTAGGTGCTTGGTGTGTATTGGCCTTGCGACGATGGTGGAGGGTTGCAGGCTCGAGCACAGTAGAAGAAGTCGAAACGATGTTGGTGGGTTTGCGTGGCGAGGCGGGTGCGGTTGCAGTTTTCGCACTTTTTGCATGTGTCAGCAAGATTTTTCTCGTAGACTTGACGATGAGAACTCACCATATCGAACCCCGGACAGATCGTGCAGGCGTACAACGTCCCCCGTATAGGATACATCTGACAGCCTTTACAACTCGTCCAGTGCACACCTGCCTCCTGCGAAGCCTGAAACCGCTGGCCCACACCATTCATAACATCATTTGTCTGGCCCACAGACATCATGTCAAAGCGATGTCCAACTCCAGCGCCCCTATTCTTGCACTCGCCGCAAATGTCGTGGTCTGGACAAGTTTGACATCGCCATCTGATTCCTCGCAGTGGATTTGCTCCGCAACTATCGCATATCACGCCGTTGTGGACATCGTGTTGAGCGTGGAGGGATTGGTAGAACATGGCGGATTGGGTATTGAAGCCGAAGCCTGCGACGTCCATGGTGTTGTTGTAGCCGGTGATGCAGGCCGCCATGTTGGCTATAATTACGGCTTCTCAGCCTCTGTTATGTGTCCTGGGGTTCTTATTTTGGTTCGTGAAGCGTTATCGAGGGTTGCTAAAAGCGACTGAGATTTCCAAGAATTGCGTTTGGCGCAGTGAGTGAATGGCAGCGACAATGCCTTTTCAATGGCGCGCATTCTGCAAATTTATCCATTTTCATCTGGCACAGCATATCGCCCACGTCGTATCCGATCCAGAATAGTCACGCCTGTTCGGGAACACGACATGCCATAATCCAGCTGCAGAAGCAAGCCAATCTGAAGCCACACCAGCGTAATCAAGCCAGCTTTCTTGGCAGTGCGACTGACCACTGCGACATGCTGGTCGCGCAGCTGGTCTTCACACATTGGTTGATGAGATTGTTTTGACAACTCGTTTTGCTGGGCGCGGCGGTGTCTTGGTTGTTGCCACTACAAAGTAGCAGCCGGCGGGTGCAGGTCGTTGGCTTCCCTGGCAGCCCAGAATACCTGATCCGGACTCGTGCACTGCGCAAAGGCTATCAGACCAGGAGGCGACGGCTGTGGGTGGTGGGTGGTGGGTGGTGGGAGGGAGAGGTATTCCAATATAGACTGTGGACTGCAGTTGTACAGAGGAGGTTGAAGGGCGGTGTTGAATGGATTGATGTTGATACGGCATCCATTTCCCCGGGATTGTTCGACACTATTCGCAGAACAACAAGCAGAATATCAGGCGGTCTCGACGCTCGGTCGAATTGCATCTGAACAGTCAGCTCCTTCTGCCCCAAGCCCAAACTGCCTCAACCTCTTCAACTCCTTCTGCACATCCGGCAACAAATCCCGCTCAATCCAAAGCCGATTCATAACCAACCACCCAATCTCCTCCCCTCCCCCATCAAAGCCCTTCGCCAACTCCCTCAAATCAAACTCCCTCCCCTGCATCCGCATCGTCGACTTCAACAAGCCCGCTTCCTTGTCTTTAAGAAAGCCGAAATACGGTTTGGGGCCTTCGACGCGGAAAGTTCGGCAGACGCGGAGGAAAGGCGGTTCTGGAAGACCGTCGACGAAGCCGGAGTAGATTCGTGGGTAGGTGTCCCAGTGGGTGGCGGTCGCGAGGTCGTAGATTTGGAGGCGGAGTTCGGGTGGGATGCGGAGGATGGGGGCGTTTGCCGGATTGGGGAATTCCATTGGCGGGTGGTGATGCGTTGGAGGTTTGGCTGATGGAGATTGGTAAGAGAGATTCCGTGGAGTTTGGCAGGGCTGATGACCTCTTTTTCAAGTGCGGAATCGAGTGCTTCGGAGGATGACAAGGTCCGAAGGGACGAGGTGCGGGCTGGTGGCTGTGAGCGTTCGGTGACAGGTTGAAACCGAAGGAATTGGCAAGCCAGGGCGACGTCTGTCATTGTTATATACTTGTAAAGATTACTGAGCTCGGATTCGAGACGAAGTCATCAGACGTATAGAGTCTTACTTGAGCGCCTTGAAGTCTTGGTCGATGCCAAGAAAAAGGCGAGGCGAATATGTAAACAGAAGTCATCGATCGGAACGACTCGTTTTGAATCATGGCGTCACTGGCAACATCTTATGAAGCCAATTTGCAAGCTTCATCTTTTCGACTGGGCCAAGTCCTTCGAGTGGAGAGCAGAAGTCGCCCTCCCAGGAAGATAGTTCATGCAGCTTGAGTCCGACGACTGCTCCAGGCAGCTCGAAGGTCGATGTGGAACCTCCATTGTTGAAGGTAATCGAGCCGTTCGTAATGGCACCGTAGCGTACTGTGAGCTCCATGTTGACTCCTTCGACTTGCTCTTTGGTCGAGATTGTGAATTGTGGCGTCTGAAGGTATTTCCACTCCAGGGACTGCTTCATAGTTAGCTTCACATCTTGACCAGTCTTTTTCAAGACTGACCTGCAACTCATCATAGCCTTTTCGAACACTGCTAATTTCTAGCCACTCGTCCTCGACATCGATAGTGTCAAGACTCTGTTGCTCATAATGCTTTGCAAATCTGGCTTGAACGGCACGAATAAAGTCCGCGTTGCTCAACAAGATGTTTCCGACCGGCGAACTGACACTTTCAACTCCACGTGCCGTGATGAAAGGCTTTGCTGGTGAATGAAGGTAGTCCGGTATGATGTTCAAGTTCGGGCTCGACAGCAAGCAGGTTCCGTGGTGTAATGCCCGGTTGCGAGTCAGCTTGTACGCGGAGCCAGAGACCTTCAAAGGCTTTGGTGTATCGAAGTCGGTGGCCTCGTATGGAGTGCTGTGTGTGTCAGACGGATCAATGTCTGCACCGCGACTTCCCTGATCCAATACAATATCATGGCGTGCATTCACTCGGGCTCTGTCGATGCCACAATCTCGCAACGCCCGCACAACCATCTCTGCATGCTTGTCTCGGGTAAAGCTAGCAGATGGACATATGACCGTCCAGTTGACATTGCCTGAGTCATGGAACACAGTGCCCCCTCCACTGCGCCGCCGCACCAGGTCCACTGCCCCCAGGCCAGGAGGTTCCGTCTCGGGCGAGTCAGGCGATGAATTAAGCAAAGCTAGATTGGCCTCCAACCATGGATTCTGATTTCTGCCAATGATGATGCTCGGCCTGTTGACATAGAGGAAGAGGATGGCGGATTCCTGAGCGGCGTTCTGTAGAAGGTAGTGTTCGATGGAGAGGTTGAGATAGGGGTCATTGGATGACGAGATGTAGGACTGGACGGGCCTTGAGAGGCCATCCTGTGGCGAGCTGGATAGCCATCTCCTCGCTCCAAGTGGTGTCTTTGAAGCTCTGAAAGCGTAGGCGCTCCTGCAGAGAGCGTGCCGTAGAATCATGGAGCCATAATGTAGAGGTGACGATTTGCTGGGAGAGAAGATCCTTCAGGGATGGTGTGCGGAGCCGCTAGCCAATCTAGCTCCGTATGTGGCTTGCCAACGGCGGAGGCGAGCTACACCGACGTACAGCGCGCTTAGAACCAATATTACGCCGTGCAACGCCGGAAAGTGAGTGAAATGTAGATATAATACAAGATAGATGCAGAGTGAGATGTTTTATCCCGGTGAGGCTCTCCCCCTCGTCAGCCCTACGAACGGGGCATTCTCCGCCTGAATCGCTAGCGGCGGGACTGGCCGCCCCGTGAAACGTTCCTGCATATGGCGGCGTTCCTGCAGCGTGAAGTCGCGCCTTCCTTTTTGGCTTCACTCGAGGAAGCGACTCTCCTCCACCCGCCGCGCCTGCACTTCTCTCGCCCTCGCCGCGCACCCCTCCTCCGCCCCGAACATGCGGCCATGGCGTCCGACACCTCCAGCCAGCCGTCCAAACCGCCCATGACCTCCCCCGAACTCGTCGCCTTCGTCAAGAAAGAGCTGGACGCCGATGAGGAGCGCCAGGCCAAGGTTGCGTCCGCCGGCGCCGGCGAGGTCCCACGCGAGTCGCAGACCGGTTCGACGCTGGATCTGAGCCACAAGAACATCAGTAGCCTGCCCGTGGAGGTCATAATATTAATCAAGGACAAGGTCGAGAGGTGAGGCATTGGATGGCCCATTGAGGGGAGAGGGGCCGCCTGCTGACCGTAGATCAGGCTCGCTGTATCGCACAACCCGCGCATCTCTTTGCCCGTCGAAATCTACCAATGTGACCGCCTACGGTATCTCAATCTACGATGGAACAAGTTGAGGCAGTTTCCGGACGCGGTATGTGGGCGGGTGGGGTTAGGGGGAAGAATAGAGGGCTGATGTGACACAGGTGCTTTCGCTGCCCAAGCTGGAGATTCTGGACATCAGCAAAAATGCCATTGAGGCTATACCGGAGGACATAAAGCGCATGATCAATCTCAAGTTCTTGGCCGTTGCGCGCAACCAGATCAAGCGTTTGCCTCTTGCGCTGGGCGAGATGAATCTGGTCAAGCTTAAATTCGACGAGAACCCGATCGAATTCCCTCCGCTGGATGCTCTCAAGCCGAATGCTGACCGTGCTGCTTCGATGATCGAGTCGGAGAAGGACAAAGACATGTGCCAGCAGGTTAAACGCTTCATGCGAGCTGCAGCAGTGAGGCAGAAGATGCGCACTACTTCGGAGGAGGACATGAGGTACATCGGATTACATTACGCTTTGGGCAAAGACTGACTTGTTTGCAGCGAAACCAATGCCGAGACTCCTCGCCCACCAAGGCGTGGCGTTACCGGTGGTCGATTTCCTGTACGGCCAAGCGTCAGCGGCATTGATAACTTGCCAAATCCCATCGGAGACTCGCCGCCAAATATACCACCGCCCATTCCACAACGATCCCATGCTCGTGGCATATCGTCCAACGTTGCACCGTCCATGGCTAAGCGCCCGCCCCTCTCGACCATCGTCACGGGTGGGCTGGACAGCAGCAGGAGCAGAAGCGAGACAGTGGCTACCTCTGCAAACATTCGCAACCGTCGCCAAGGCTACGTTCCACGCAAGAACGCGAACATGATGTCGCTGAGTGAGATGTCAACGCATATGTCTGCCAGCCCGGCACCCTCCGCACCACCACCGACTGCTGCTCTAACGCCACCACATTCTAGGGCCCCAAGCTCAGCTTCTAGCTACAGAGATTACCTTGCTCCTGGAAGCGGTGGTGACTCCGGTGCACCAAGTCCGGTTGATGGTCCTGTTAGCCGAGCAAACCTCTCTCGCAGACTGGCTAGCCTCCCCGAGAGTCGCAACTCGAGCCTGCCGACCATCAACTCTATTCGCGCGGTCAAGCGAGTATTATACATGCTCTTCCATCTTTACAGGCCCGTCGCGGACATCACATTACTGCTCAAAAGTGGATCACCCATCCGCAACCGTCGTGAAATCCAGCTCTTCAACGCCAACTCTACAGTCGAAGACCTGGACAGGCTCATTGTGGCTGCCAACAGCACCATGGAGCGTAATACCGAGATTGACGCCACTTTGCTTGCTGATATTATCCGTACCGGCATCAAGGCCTTGCGGAAGTACATCTCCCTTGTGAAAGATCTCTGCCGGGAGCGACAGCACACGATCAGACAGGTCGATGCCTTCCATGTGCGTTTGGTACTGAACGCAGCTCATGGCACGATCATCGAGGCTCGCAACGTCTGCCATCTTCTAGGCTTCAGGACCAAGGCTTTGTCGTCCAGAGATACACTGCGAGTGTCGACTGCTGGCAGCAGTCGCACGGTGACGCCGACTCAACCCAGATCCACTAGCACTCGCAGACGAGGCGCTACCATTCTACAACCTGGCGGAAGCGTCACCAACCTCCGCGGGATGGCACCTCCCGTACCATTGCACATCGGCAGTCGAAGCAATACCATGACTTCCATGAGCGCCGGAGTAATACCTCGCTCGAACGACTCCTTCATCAATCTGGCTTTACACAGCAATGTACCGTCTCGCAGTAACACCATGCGGAGTGTGACGACAGAAAGCGATCATGAGGATGGCGGCGAGAAGTTGTATCTCAAGATGAAGCAGTGTTGCGACCTTGCTTCGCAACTGCTTCCCCCAGTGCATTTGGACCTCGTATCGAGAAAGCAGTTCGCCGACCGTACCGACGCCGCTTCGCCATCTCAGTATTACAAGTCAGCGATCGAAAAGTGTGACTCCGTCATTACGAACAACAACAACCTTCTGTCTCGCCTCAGAGCGATGAAAGTCGGCGATTCTGCCAGGCATCAGAGAGAGCTCGCCCAGATGATCGAGAGCTTTGGAAGGGTAAGTGGCCCCATTGACAGTCGAAAATACTACCTAATTCTGTTCATACAGGACTGGACCAACTTCGTCTCGGAGATTGTAGAACTCACAAACAAAGACCTCCCTGTCGGTCACATTCGGAAGACGCTGAAGCCTCTCCAACATGCGGTCAAGGAAGCGAACCGAGCGGCTCTCTTGCCGGCGCAGACTTCATCAGCAAGGCCACCACCATCTGCTTCCATCCATGGTGGTTTCCCCACAGCGCTGAACACAACCATGACGCAGACGAACAGTCATGTGCCACCAGGTAGGATTCATTCATCTGATGCTCTGTCGTCAAACAGCCAAACTCTTCCAATGGAGATGGTCTTTGACTGCGCTCCCAATAATATGCTGACACTCTTACAGTACCCGCGACGCCTCTTGGCGCTGCTCTTGGCCCGGCCGTTCAGGCGACTGTGCCACCGACGCCAACCACTGCCATCAGCTCGCCTGAGTACTATTTTCCCGACCAGCCGCGCACTCGACCGGCGCCTGAGCGAAGCCAGACTACGCTTCCACTTCCGAGCTATCCACGGCGTGACCGTTAACAATCTTGAGGTGAGTCAGTATAGTTTATATGCTTTCCTGTGCGGCGGGCGGCGGTGGCGAGCAGCGGAGCGAGCGAGCAATGCGGATACGACAATGATTTCTGAGTAACGCGAACGACCGATTTCATTCACGCCTCTTGTTTGATTACACGAAAAGCGAGAACACGAAAGACGAGGACAGCGATTTGAGCTGCACGTGGGACTTCTCTAATGACTCTTGCTGTATCTTGGGATTCGTTGGAGCGCATTCAGAGCAACGGAGCGAACGCATATGGGACGCTCAAGGAGAAAGGAGTTTCTTGTAACTGTACTTTACGACTCATGGGCGTCTGGGAAAAGCAAGGGCGGCAGGATTGGCAACGAGATACCCAGGCGTCTTGTATGAAATGTGTATACTACTTCTCGCGCACTTGACCTTTCACCGAGTGCCCGTTCATTGTTTGAATTTGATAATCCTTGGTTCATTGAAGAGCTAGGTAGGTAATGTCGACGAAAGTGCACGGTCCGAGCCGCGAGAGAAGTTCGAAGTCTTGGAAGATTTCGTGCTGCTGCTCTTCAACAACAACGGCTACATGCGAGTTGGAGAATCAACATGGCCGACCAAGGAAGAAAGACAGCGCTGAACAGGAGGAGCATCGGACTCGCGATGGACGCCACGGAGCGAAGTCTTCGCCTGGTCTCGCTACCTCCAAAGTCCTGAACCGAAGACACCCCCTCTTGCCTCAGGACAAACCAAGCAAGTCGTTTCGATGCAGAAAAAACCTCCACTCCATCGCCCTTCAGCGCCTCGACCACAGTCTATCGGTACTATCACACGACCTTATCAGTACCATTCGCTCCTCTCCACCAGAAAGGGTTGAAAAATGAAAAAATCACTCACCTTATGAAACCCAATCTCCTCCGCCTTCTCCCGAAACGCCTGACGAGACATATTGATGCCGTACTTGCGGATCAGGCCGGATTTCTTCTTGTCGCCTGTTACGCGGCTATCGTCCACCCATTCTGTTAGCAAGTCCTTGAGTCGTCGCGTGCGTGCGTGCGTGGTGTGGAATTGGATGGGATGTTTACCAGCCGCGAGAGCCTTTGCCGTAGGTGCGCGGGCGGGAGTAGAAGACTGTGTCGTGGGACATTTTGTGGCGGCGTTTTGGTGGGGTTGTTGTTGGGGGTGGAGGTAAGGTGTGATGGGGATGGGCAGGTGAGGGAGAGGAATTTTGGGTAGGTGGCGAGGTGTGGTGTGCGTGGCCATCAAGGTCCTGAGAATGAGAGGGCTTGGCATGGGTTGGGGGGTTTGGCGGGATCTCGCACTGAAAGGAGCTTGGAGAAGAGGAATGCATCTTTGTGAGTGTTTTCATGTGTACAGGAGCCGATTTCAGGTAGGTTTGTTGTCGCTGTGGTCTGCGATTCTATGGGGCCTGGTCAGCGCCTGGCGCATATACCTCGCAGCACGACACTCAGCCTCGGGAGTCAGGTCAGACCTCGTCCGACATTCCTTCTTCATGGTATCTGGACGAGTCGAAGGCCTGAAATTCTGGACATGCACGGAACGAAACCCATCTTGGTCGAGAAGATAGATTTGACGATTGGCAACCCTTCTTGGATTTCTGGATTTCTGGACAACGACCTCAGCAAGACACACCGATCGCTCACGGCTTCAGCCGACGTGCACCTGACTAAAATCTCCTTCGAAATGACGATTGAAGAATCGGGGATGCGATGATGCCTCAAGCGTCCTTCATTCGAAGCCGGTGATGTTCCGTAGGGCCGAGTGGATGAAGTGGTTTCCCAATTCGAAACCAGTCGCCAAAGCCCGTCGCCACCTATCTTGACGCTTATCAATGGCATCCCCATCACTCGGGATCCCGAGCTCCTTCCCATACTCCGCAGGGACTGCCCGTCTCCCAGCAAGCGACCTGCATGGCTATGGCCGTCTTATCGATAGGCAGCTTCCATTTCCAGGCGAGAAAGCGTCCCTGGAGTTGCTCCTGAAATTCGAATCCACGACTCTCATCCTCCAATCCCCCGCCCTGACCATCTTCCCCCAACACCCCTCCCACCACTCTCAAAAACCTCCCTCTCACTCCCCAACTCCGCCCTCGGTACCACCGATCCCCCATCCCCATGTCCATTCTCCACAACCCTCGGCGACAAAGCCTCGTACTTCAACCCCTTGTGCACCAACACCCCATTCAACTTCCCGACATAGACATCCCTTTCCTTCTTCAGTCTCTTGATCTTCGTTCGGAGGACTTGGATGGCGATGAGGCAGCACATTAGGAGGATGCCGAGGGTGATGCCGATGCCGATGGCACAGTTGCGGATTGTGGTTTCGCGGATGGAGAAGTTGTAGGTGGAGGTGTCGGATGGGGAGGCGGATGCTGTTGGGGTGGAGGGTTGGGTGGGTGTGGAAGACATTGTTGGATCGGTGGGGTCGCATATACGGTATGTGCTCTTGTAGACTGCTTGATCGAAGAGCGGAGGAGGGATAGAATAATGAAGGAAAGAGATGCAAGGAAATGTACAGACGCGGACTTACAGACCCTCATGGCTGTGCCTCTCATGCGCGTCCGCCCTTGGTCTCCATACTTGAGGCTGAACAGAGGCCGCCGGCGTCTACGTCGAGTTGTGTGGCGCTGAGCGTTTGAAGTCATTGTCCTACGCGCCCAAGCCCCGTTTTGTGAAACACGCCCCCACCGGCGGCTAGCTGCCAAGCTGTTTGGGTATGCTCTCTTCATGTTGATCTTCACTGACGAGGATGGCAACGAGGGGTCCGGAGTGGTTGGAAACCGTCACTGCTGGGGAAATATAAAGCTTCGGCTGACGAGTGAACTCTGCTGCCCGTCGTTTCCTGGACCTCGTCAGCTAAGCTTACCATTGAATTGGGAAAGAGGAAGGGGGTTTGTTAAGAATATCCTTTATTGATGCTCCCATATTTATGTTAGTCTATGCTCGAAGCTAGACCTGCCAGCTTCACGAATCATGTTTTTCTATGTACAATTCTTCTTCCAACGACCCCAACCATCATCCACGATCAAGCTAGTTCTTCACTCCACCATCTTGAGCCTTCTCATCGCCGTCCATATCGCCATCATCGTCGCCATCCTCATCGCCACCCTCATCGCCACCCTCATCGCCACCCTCATCGCCACCCTCATCGCCACCCTCATCGCCACCATCCTGGCCACCATCCTCGCCCTCCGCATCCCCATCTTCATCCCCATCACTATCCTCATCATCCTCCCCCACCGGAAACCTACACAACCGACACCGACACCCCCCAACCCACCCCTCACACACGACCCGCCTCTTCTTCCCCGCCTTCTCCATCTCCACAGCCTTGCGCTTCATCGCCTGCTGCTTATCCGCGGGAGCATTGTGGGGCTTGCTGTCCCGACGCGCGGAAGCGAAACGGTACTTGGAGCTTCGGCGACGACCTTCATTCGCGGAAGACTCTGCTGCTTCGCGTTCTTCGAGGGAGGGGGGAGTTGGGTGGGAGGCGTCGATTCGGCGCTGGTGTTGGGCTGGGGAGGAGGCGGTGGTTGTTTGGGTGGAGGTGTTGAGGATGGGGCTGTTGTCTTCCAGAATTCGGCGGGGGAAATACACTTGGGGTGGGTTTGGAGCTGGAGGGTTCTGCGGTAGGTTCGGAGCTGGAGGATTTTGTGGTGGGTTCGGAGCTACGTTCTGCTGTGGTGGGTTTGGAGCTGGGGGGTTCTGGGGTGGGTTTAGAACCGGGTTGTGCTGTGGCGGATTTGGAGCTGGATTGTGTTGTGGTGCACTCTGGGCGCCGTTGCCTTGTACCGGATTTGGAGCCGCGTTTCCCTGGGATGCATTCTGAGCAGCATTGTCTTGTGGTGCGTTGTGAGCCATGTTGATCCTGTTGCGGTTGGCTTCGTAGAGTTGATGGTTTGGAGTTGCTTTGGTCTGTTTGTTGTCTGTGATTTTCTGGTGTGTTGCTTGTCGCTTTTCTGTCTTGTTTGTGAGGCCTGCCTGGGAGAGAAAAAGAACCTCCTCCGAGTGCACATTGATCTGCTTATATACCTCTCCGACGATCGAACTTCCTACCTCCTTCGTCAGACATCTATCTGCCAAGATGGTACTTACTGAGACCCGGACAAAGCCAAGTTGAGACGACAGGCTACTAATAGCTTGATGTCTTGACTGCAAATTCGTACGTAGCTTGGCGCCCGCACATTGTCGTAGCAAGAGGTCGATGATATTGATGCTCTCGAGACAAATGTGTTAGATAGTATCGTTGAATTTGACACACGAAACTACATGTGGCCGACCACAAGACCAGAATCTAGAAACACATCAGTCTCAGTTTCGAAAAAGTATCAAAAAAGGTCTCAGACTCACCAACATGAACCGCCTGTCCAGTAATAGACGTATTTTGCGCAAGATCAATGAATGCCTGAGCACATTCCTCCAAGTCGGTCTGTCAAGACACACAGTCAGTCAGCATCAACCTCTCCCACTTCCCACAATATCTCAACTCACCTCCTTCTTCAGCGCTGCGGCGTTCTTCAAAGCATTGATCCTCTCCTCTCCATAGAGATTTCCCCAATCTGTCAAAAGCAAACCCGGCAAAACCGCATTGATCCTAACCTTTGGACCCTGTGTATTCGCCAAACACTTCATCAAATGGATCTGCGCAGCCTTCGTGACGCTGTACGCCATACTGCTCCCGCTCAGACTCTTCCCAGCGACAGAGCTCGTCATGATGAACACGCCGCCATCGGGATTGCTGTTGAACGTGGGCAGGGCCTCTTTGAGAATCGCGTGATTGCCTTTGACGTTGGTATTCCAGCACTTGTCCCATTCCTCATAGGTCATGGCGTCCAGGTCTTTGAAATCGGAGAATTTGGTGAAGCCGGCGTTGCCGATGATGATGTCGAGGCCGCCGAAGGCTTTGATGGTTTGGCGGACGCAGTTTTGGATGTCTTCGACTTTGCCGCCGTCGCCTTTGATCACGGTTGTCTTTACGCTGGATTTGGATTCGAGTTCTTTCGCGAGCTCTTGGGCGGGCCCTTCGTTATTGGCGTAGTTGATGGCAACATTCGAGCCTTCGGCGGCGAACTTTCTGGCTATCACCGCACCCAGGCCTCTGAGTAGAGAGTCAGCGTTGATTAAAGGCGCGAGTGGGAGAAAAGTATGCGAGTGAGCCGACGCCTTACCTGGAGCCTCCAGTAATGAGAACATTCCTTCCTTTCAAAGCGTAAGGCATTTTGCGCAGCAGAGAAACAAGTGCAGGTCCAATTGTCCTGCTGAAAAGGTATAAAAGAGTGAAGTGAGGTCGGCCGGCAGGGCAGGCATGGAGCCATACCCCGCCTATCAGCACACCGTAGCTGCCGAGAGAAGCTTTCACTTCCGAGGGTGGGTAGGTAATAATCATCTCTTACGACCGAGCTCTTTCTTCAGGATTCGCGTCTAGTGTTCTCGTATAAACGAGAGCATCATGGTGTTTCTGCCCGCTCGAAAAACACACTCGGATCCTATCCGAAGTTGAAGTCTTCGCCCAAATCGCCCAGGTCGTCCATCCCGCTCATGCCGCCCATGTCAAGGCCCGCAAAGATGTCCTCTTCTTGATTCTGTTGTCCGACCTGCTGGCCGTTGTTTTGCGTCGAACTCAGAGTAAAGTCCATGTCGCTTAGAAGTTGGGACTGGTCAATGTCCATTGCGCCGGTGTTAACAGCCATGTTTGCGAGGTCCTCGTTCGTCGGATTCGAAAGATCGAGCTGCTGCTCAAGGCCGGTCAAGTCGTTCTGGTTGATGGCGGCATCCACACTCGTGCCATCGCCATTACCAGGCAAGTCCAGCCCAAGTTCCTGCATCATTTGATCGGCTGCTGTCTGGTCTTGGATCTGTTGCATGGGGATCGCCATTGGAGGAATTTGCACAACTGCAAGCTGGGCTTCGACTCTTCGACACAAACGAACGAGTGCCTCAGCTTCGGCCACTTCCTTCTGCTTGACGCTCTGAATGTCTGCTGCAACGAGCGCAATGCTGTTACGGAGGCGGGTTGTGACGCAATTGGGATGGCTCTGTTGCTGTGCAGCCATGGGCACAGGGACAGGGACACAGACCAAAGAAGTGCATACATCCAGGGCTGTCGGGGCATTCGGGCTCTGTGACAGTTCTTGTACCATGACATCGCGAAGAGCCACGCCATCTAGAAGCTGGCAGGCTAAAGCAAATTCTTTGTAAGTGTATCTCGGCGGTGGATTTGGCGGGTTTGATGGGGTCGATGACCACTCGACCAATTCCCGAATGCTTCGACGAATGCGGTTCTGTACGCTACCATCTTTCTGGTAAATCTCGTCAAGTTCGTGCTTCTGTCGGCTGAGTGTTCGCTGTTGATAAAGATATTGCTTGAGCACCTGGCTCAAGTCTGCAGCCTTCTTCTTTTCCGGTTGTCGGCGAAGAAGCTCCTGTAGCGACTCGTACAGTGGTGTTGCGACCATGGTAAGTATGGCAACGTGCATTGCTTTGGTCTCTGGCGGGGAGCTTTTGGGGAGGTTGAGCAGCTTGTCGAGGATATGAAGGAGCACCTCGGTGTCATTGTGGTCCTCCCAAGAATGCTCCGCCAGCCATCTCAGACCCATGACCAACGAAGGCAGCAGGAAGGGCTCCAGAAGCAGTTCTAAGCCCCCTTTGAATGTCTTGATCGACAGCGCATTGGTCCGGCAGGCCAGTATACTCTGCTCGAAGAGGGTTGGCACAAGCTGGTAGAATGCCTGGGGTGAGCACTGCCGCATGACATCGTCGCCGATACCGCTGGTCTCTCCGTGCTCGTCAACGGCGTAGAGTCCTTCGATCCACTTCCCCAGCTGTGACGCTTGCTCTGGCGACAGCTCATTGAGAGGATTTGAGATGGACATGTCGTCCAGAAGCCGAGCCACGAAGCTGTCGGGCAAGATGCCAATATCTGCGCCTTTCAGATCATAACGATGGATGACCGTAAGAGCGAAGAGCAGGATAGAAGCGAACTCCTCGTAGGATGGGGTGAATTCAGTCTGTTCTTGATCGTGGATCCAGTCGTTCAAGAGTGTGCATATTGGCAAAAGGAGCATGCCTGGCTGCGCAAAGATCATGACTATGTCGATGCGGGAGACTTTCTTCATCAACCAATTGCAGACCGACTTCAGTGACATGGTGTCTTTGCTCATGCAAAGATTCGTGACCGTCTCGACGATGCAATTGGCGATTGCCCCAGCATTCCCCTGGAAGGCATCCAGATCTTCGATGTGGTTCTCGAGGCGGCTGATGTTATTAGCGCATTGAGCAACCAGCGCATCTTTGTTGTGTCTCGTTACACGCGGCAGAGCTATGGATTCCTGTAGGATACTGCTGATCGTACCCTCCGAAACGAGACCATGAAGGGCGCATGCCTGTAAGAATTCCAGGCGAGCACCCTTTAGGCTGTCTCTGATCTGGTTGGCACCAGGCGTGATAGGTGCAAGTGGATCCATGCTGATATGTCCTCCAGGGATCAGTGTCATCTGAATGCAAGACTCAGCAGTCATGGGCGGCGCGATGCTTCTTGACAGCATGGAGATGATATGGGGTACTTTGTTGCAGAGGAATGACTGGATAATGCGGACATCTTGTCTCGATTCCTTCCGCAGCATCGCGTTCGTGAGGCAGTCGAAGGAGGCGACAAGAAGGTCAGATACCTGCATCTGCACATCATTGGGAGAGCGGCCGTGCAGATAGCTGTAGACTGTCATGTCATCGGTGAGTGGCCTCGCTACCAGTGCAGCATTGAGCCAAACGAAAGCTGCTGCTCTTGACGGGATGACGGGGATCTCCGGAATGGAATCGAGGATCTGCTGGTCTGTCCACTGGGGCTCTCCGTTCTTATCCAGCGGGATGAACGGCACAGATCCGGTCACCATTCTCAGTCGGCCAGCAAACTGCGAATTCATCCACTGGAGGATGTGGGTGTCGAAGTTGACCAGTTCTGTTGTGACCGCGGCACGATGCTCTTTCCACCATTGCTGCTTCATGACTTCGCGCATGCTGGCATTGTCGAAGACTGCAATGGCCAGTTTACCTAGCGCTTCGTAACTTCCGAATGTGATGGCATCGACAGTGTGGAGTCCACCGCCTTCGAGTTGCTTGACGACTTCGTAGTCGTTGACCGCCTTGAGCCAGCGATAGATAGTCTGGACCAAGCTCCAAATCTCGAGGGGTGCCGTAGGTATGTGGGTGGTAGAGTACATTTGCATGAGTATGGTGAAGATCCTTTCTTCGCATGATGGCATTCCTGTGTATCCAGTCGCAACAGGGGCTTCCGGGTCGTCTCGGCCGTAGAGTGAGCTTCTGAGCAAGGCAAAGAGAAGGTCTCCTGAGCCAATGTACTTCTCGTTGATGAGGCCTCTCGCATAGGGGAATAAGAAGGGGTCATCGGCTCCGACTTTGGACGATCGAAATGCAAGCAACGCCGTTGCGATCTCGCCCGCCTTGGCTTTCGTTTGCCTCGTCTGAGATGACTCGGAGGCTTTGCAAGCCGCCAGAAATTGATTTGGCATTCTTCGCTTCAAGAGGGAGGTCTTGATCGTGTCGTGCCATCGCTGTGCGGCCTCGCTCTGCGGCTTTGGATCATTCAGCCACGGCATCTTGATTGTATTTTCTGCAATTAATGGAGGTTCAGTTTCGAACGCCGAGTGATATTTGGAGAGTCAGGAGTGTTCGGTATGGAATATCGAGTCGGATGATCATGGGCAACGGCGGCTGGCAGAGGTGTGTAGGGAACCGGCTGACCGCATCGCCGCGTGGTCGCTTCTTTCTTGTTATGTAGTCGGAGATGGAACGACCACGTGAGGCACGTTTCTATTGACAAGATTGCTATTGTGCACTTGGCCTACAATCCTATTGGGAGACGCGAGGTTCGCGTGCCGCCAAGACTGTGGCTGGCCAGCCACGAAGCACAGCCATAAAAAGGTCTGAGCGTTCACGCTCAATCAATTCGGCCCCTAAATTTTGATGGGAAGCATGACGACATGTACATTGGTTTGCTAGAGTATTGGCTACGGTCAGGAGGATCTATTTCATTGCCCTGATCATCTTGAACTGCTCATCTGGCCTCACAATCTCGAATTCCGGACCCAACTTGCCAACCATCTCTACGATATCTCCCACGTTGAAGTTCCAAGCAGTCAACGAACAAGCCACGAAGATAGGCCGAATTCCATCATACTGTGACTTGGACAGCTTGTTCAAATCCGTGAGGCCGGTCTTGACGTCGTCTATCTGCAACAGCCCTATGGCTGGTAGTCCTTCGATAAATCTCACAGCATTTGGATGCCGACTATTGTTCCAGGCACCGACAGATATTCCCAGAAGCTCCGATCCCACTACGTTCTTGTAGGCGGAGGCAATCTCGGAAGATAAATGTTTTTTCTGGCCGTTGATGCGATTGTAGACCCAAATGTTACTGCCGAACCCAGTTTCTTCGATGTATCGCTTCGTTTGGTTGAGGAACAACTTGAAGTTGTGATACGGCCAGCTGATTGGGTTGGTGTACCCAGCGCCGGAAGGTCCAACAACGAGCGCATCGTTGTCTGTAGCGGTGGTCTGAAAGTAGTGGAGAATGTTAGGCCCAATATCTACGAGCAAAGGGGTAATGGTCCAGCCCATTGGAACTTGGCCGCGCTTGGGGTGGTCCCAAAGATGGCGTAAGTGACGTTGACAGTACTGAATATTGTCACCTTCGCTCCAGGTCAGGGAGACATATATCTTGTTGGTTGGACTTTTGCCTGGCATAGAACCGGTTCGCGGGAGTATTGATTGCATCCTCGCCACTGGAAACAGCTTCTTCAGGCCGCTCATAAGACTGCCGCTGAAGTAGAAGTCGCTGGCAACCACATACACGCTTTCCTTTGATGCCACCGTGATACCAGTCATCTCGTGTCCATGAGGAAACCAGCCCAGGTAAAGCGAGTTGGCATCGAGCGTCCTCAGAATTTGTTCAAGTAGGGGAAGCTCGGCGGAGTCCTCGGGATCAAGCCATATACATGGTGCTGCAAGAGCCACGATGTAGTCACGTAGTATCGAATTGACCCCAGAATCGCCATGTCTTGGAGGGATGGCCGCAATGAGCCGCTTTGTCACATACGGATAGACGCTCTTTAGCCCGTAAGAGTACACCTCTAGCCTGGTCTTGAACATTCCCTTCAGATTCTGTATTACAGGTAGTCCTTGGACCTGAGCTACTGCGGCGGAAGTAATCCCACAGTCTCGGTATCCAGCTATAGTGGTCGCCAGATTGACGGTGTCGGGAACATGCTCGTCATAGACGATGACGCCTCTGATCTCTGATCGGTACTTGTCCAGCAGGCGTAAGGGCGTTGAAGACCAGTCTTTGATACTGACACGTTGGCGTATACCTTCCAGCCATGCTTTGTTACTGCCATCATCGTCCCAGTAGACATATATACGAGGCTGTCTGCGGTTCACGACGCCTTGAAGTGATGTCAGAAGCGCTTGTTCGTCTCTCGCGAGTTTCGCGAGGTCTGCCACATCGACGGTCTCAGCCACGTCTGGAAAGCTCGGGAACGCTCTATCGCCTGGCCATTCGAGTGCGGCGAGTGAAGGCGACATGTTGGTTGCTGCAGGGAGCAAATATTAGCAGGCGAGCCATGGCAATGCTTGCTTACGCTTGAATAGACTATCGTGTGACTTTCGAGGATGCCGACAGTTTCAATGATGGTGTCTCAGCGCCAGATTTATACATGGCGAGCCCCGAATAGTTCGCCACGATGCCATCAGGCTGGATTCCCTCGTTGTTTTGATCTTGAGGACAGACGTGAGGTGAGATCTCACTATTGCCAAATGTACTTCTGTTTGTCGGGCTCACGGGAGCGTGCCGACTGAAGGAGCGGCGAAGTCTGTCACGCAAATCTCGGAATATCATCGTCACAAACTTCCGCCATTGTATGTCATGAGAGAGTTCTAATGACGAAGGATGGAGGCACGAAGGAGGAAGACGATATAAATACTGAAACTACAAAGTCGTGGGACTGGTGGCCATCACCTGCTATTTCTGTCTCTTGAACATCACTTCCATCGCCGCCATCACAACAAGCCACTGCCGACAATGGTTTACTCGTCTGGTCCATCGGCTGTGTCGCCGTGTAACCGCTTACTGCTTTTTGTAGGGCAATGCGGCACCTCATACTGCTAGTGCTTCCAGTTTCGGGACGGTCTGGTCACTTTGAAGCTCGTCACACACGTACCGCATGCTCAACACCGCCTGCTCAACACCGCCTGCTCAATGGCCCACCTGCCTTACCTGAGTGACCTCTCACGCACGCTACATTGGCACATGATGCCACTCTAATCAAATGATTATTGAGCCTCAACTTCAACTTCTGCAGTCATCTTCTTTCTTTCACATTCCAACAAAATTTCAACCTCAAAACACCACTAACGACGATGCCTCGAAACCAACCCCGCCTGCAACTAGCCCTCTACGCCCGTTCCAAGTACCCTGACGCTCCTCACTTCGCCATCTTCATTGCGCCAAAGAAAGGCGGCAAGGCCACCAAACACCACGCAAAGAACACGATCTTGAGCATTCCAGGCCAGATCTCCCAACCATGGCGATACGAACGAGTCGACATCCCGGATGTGACACTGGAGCAGCACCTCTTGGTCCGCGTCATCATCGGCAAGGTGACAACGTCTCTCGACCAGGTTGACGAGATCTTGAAGGGCATTCCGGTCTACCAGGTCGATGATCCTGACAGGGCGAAGGCGGAGTCGTTCAATTGTCGGGCTTGGGCTGGGGTTGCTCTGGAGGAGTTGAAGAAGCAGGGGGCGGTGACTATGCTGGAAGGGGACTGGGCCGAGATTGAGCGTCGGGCGAAGGAGTACCTTGGCAAGAAACGAGAGCAAGGTCGTTGGAGTAAGGATTGGAAGGGCCAGCCAGGTGTGCCGTTGATGGATTTGATCGAGGGGCGGGAGTTGGTTGCATGAAGCAGTGGACCTCGAGATTTGGATATGTGCAAATGGAACTACGACGAGTTTTGCAAGCAGGCAACAAACCTTACAACGGACGACTATGAAACTCGGATTCGTTATGGCAACGAGTGGAGGGACGATGCCTTGGAAAGACGGCTCAAGGGCACGACCGAATTTCAGTACAATTTCACACCACAGCCAGCTGGACAATATTTGGAAAAAGCACTATCCTACCTGCCTCTGACCTTACTAAAGTACACCATGGTGTTCCGAGGAGAGTTGATGAGTTGAGGTATGAGGTTGTGGGGAATGTGTCGATGGGGGGATGCGAAGCAGGAGCGATCATGTTGTGGTGGTGTCTGGGAGATTCTGACGCTTGTATGAGGGAGGGGAGTCATTATTCTTCTACAAATCCAGCTACTCTCGTAACACGCAGTCTTCCTCACCGACCCACTATTTCAAGGCCGAAAAGCAATGAGCAACTCGACAGGCGTCAAGGTGCCGAACAGCGCCTACTCATCCTCGTCGTAATCGTCAAAAGGCCAATGCTTCTCCAACATACGACGCTCGAAGCCATCTTCCGCATCTTCCAAACACATCTTCTTCCACTGAGCAACCTGGGATTTAGACTCCTCGTAAGCCCAATGTGGAACCCATCCGTCCAGGCTGCAATCAATCACAGTCCGGTAGATGTATATTGCTTGGTCCATCTTCTCCTGTTCCCGAAGTTTATCCATAGTGTCTTGAAACTCCTGCTCTTCAAACCGAATGGGACACACGGGAGGCGTCGCATCGTGAAGTAGCCCACTTCGAGTCAATTCGTCCCAGCCCTTTGCTGCTGCCAAAAGATCGGCTTTGAGGGGAATGTTGCTGCCTTCCCACGGCTCGCGGGCATGATGGTAGATCTTCCTCAGAGCCAAGGCCTTGTCACCCATCATCGCTGCGTAATGAGGATTGAGAAGCTCCTTGGTGGCCTCCATGTAAGTGTAGTGCGTATGACGGCGACGATAGAGCGCTAGGGCCTCTGCTCGACCCCTCTCGTTCATTTCGTCTAGACCGGAAGGATGTACTGGCTTTTTCAAGTTCTCCGACTCTTCATTCCCATAGTTCTGGTAGAATTGGGGAATGCCAGCATTGAGGAACATGGGGAGCACGTTGGCATGTTGCCAGTCGGAATGCCCACAATGTTGCAATCATCATCGATGAGGATGTCGCTGGGGTCCATGTCAGGGTGGCGAAGCACTGGCTTGTGCACCCAGTCCCATTTTTGCTTGGGTACAAGATGCGCGGCGATGGCGAGGAAAGATTCGAGATTGGCAAGATGTTCGCTGGGATCGACTTTCTTGTAGTTGTTGGTGACCTCTCGGTATACACGGGCAGATGGGTACCGCCATTTTTCAAATGCGCGCATGCACGAGATTTCTTTCTTCGCAGCGAACTCAAGAACCTGAAGTGGCGTCATCACTAGATGGAGCCTATCAGTGCATATTCTGAGTAGCAGGATTGCCAATCACACTCACAGACACCTTGCGGTATCTCAAGCCTACTCCGCATTCCAGACCAGTGCTCGAGCGATAGATCTGGGCCTATGCAGAACCGGCCATCGTGGCCCTCAATTCCGGTGCTTTGCATATGGTCTGGCGCATCTCTCTCGTAGAATATACTGCCATAAGCTGGCAGTGGTATACCGAAGAGCTTCGCCTCCTGCATTACGATTCCAGACAAGACTTTGTGCCTCTCCTGTTCGGATAAATCGTACCAGACTTCCGCGAGGTTTTGACCCTGGACTTTATCCATGATGATGTATTCGGCACCAACAGGATTGCCGCTGTCCCCAGAGTATCCACGGACAACAGGCACAGGGACACCATGTCTGCGAACAAGATCCATAGTGGCGACTTCGCTCGGGATTGCAAGTTTCTTTGGCTGGGTCGAGAGATATGGAAGACGAGCGATCAAGTGAAGGCCATTCCTCATAGTTAACTCGAAGACTCGGTTGGAGCGTCCTTCAGCCATTTTGTGGATCGCTTGAACATCATCTTTTTTCCGGCCGATGGACTTCGCAGCAACTTCGACAAGGGCGGTAATGTTGAATTCGAAATATCTCTCGTCCAGCCTCTGCTTCTCATTGTAACTGACAACAAGTCAATATCCGGGTGTCATACAGGAACTGGTGGAGCTCACAGCCATCTTCCCGATGTGTAGCGAAAGGCATCCGCGGTGGCAAGTCCCAGTATCGTCGGACAGTCCGCAAATTGGCGGGTTTGCGTGTAGCATCGGATCGCAGTCTGGAAGGCGAGGGTTTGCAAGAATCGCGGAATGTATGGGTTGCGTAGGCGCGGCATTGCGCAGCGCGACATGGGCCACATCATGTCGACTCGGTGTTGCTGTGTCCAGGCAACGGAGCGATCTCGCGGTCGAAGTTCGAAAGACACTGAATTGCGGGCTGCCTTCCGCTTGCCGAGTTGCGAAAATTTTGTTGAAGACGAGCTCACTTGAAGTGAAGCAGCTGGTCCCTGCCAAACTTGGTAGAGCCGACCTGCCATCAGCTGCGCCCATCACCGATGGGGAATCTATGAGACAAGATGGGGTTTTCAGAAATCAAGCATCGTGGAAGGCCAGCTACGATACGATCTTGAAAATTCGATCTACCTTGCAAGTTGAATTGGATGCGGCTCATGTCAGCTTCAGGTGTTCTTGTCAATGGTGTGTTCTCGAGTAGAGCACTCCAGCTCGTTACACACGCTCATCCCCATATCAAACACGTCTCTCCGATGGTGGAAAAGCGCTTCACTGGCCTGGCATTTCGTACTTTGTGTGAGATGCCGGCTTGAGATTGTGGTGCCGCTCACGGAGGCAGTTAGACAAGCACCAGCATACGCTGAGCAAGTCGAAGCGTTCGCGAAAGTGTCAAGATATGACTGATGGCACAGCCACGTTTGTACGATGCTCACGAATGAGAACAATCATAAGTCCTGTTGCTGGAAGAAGTGAAAGTCAGGACGAGAAGTCGTGAAGTGGAGTGACGCGCTAGGATGCATACGCTAGGCTCGGCCCGCTTGACCCTACTCAATCTCGTACTCGCAAGTATGCCTGAGGTTGGTACCAGAATTCAACTTCACGTTCTCCTTTGTTACATCCTTCACATACTTGCAGAGGTGCCCTCAGCCACCCCATTCATTACTCATGCGGAGTTACGATACGTACCGCACAAGTATGCGGCGCGCGGAGGATGGCCGCGTTGACCCTTATGGAATCCTTTGATGAGAAAGCATGCGCATGCCTTTAGTGCCCTTTGTAAAGGCGGCTGAACAGGGCTCCGGCAATTGTTTGTCCAATGAACTGGTCGACGATTCATGAGCTATCGAAACCGATTTGCGAATGAGGTAGTTGGTTCTCCGGAATGCGCTCCCATGACGTTGGCCATGGCGGAGCTGCTGTCGCTGTCAATACCGGAGCAAACTGTATAGGGCAGTGGGGACGATGACTGTACGTTGCCGAGAACCAGAGCAACGTGCATTTCAGTCCTGAAATACTCGACTGCTCCATGTGTCTTGTCCATTTTACTATTGCAGACTGACATCCCAACGCTCCACAATCACCCTCCCTTTCGTGCGAAAAATGTCAGTGCCAGCAGACAACTATATCATCTCGCGCGATGCGAACGAAGCGGAGCGCCTCGAAGTGCAGCACAACTGCATGATCTCGTGCCAGGGGTACTATCTACACCCAGACGTGATTCCATCAAACACCGCCCCTCGAATCGCCGACCTGGCCACAGGAACGGCTATCTGGCTACGCGAGCTTGCTCCAGCATATCCTCAGGCAGAACTGCATGGCTTCGACATTTCTGACAAGATGTTCCCGGAAATAGACAGACGCCCTTCGAACGTCAAGCTTCACGTTGCCGATATCAAGAAACCATTCGATGATGAGTGGCTGGGCTACTTCGATATAGTGAATGTCCGCTTGATCCAGGCTGCTATGAGGGTGGAAGAATGGGGTCCATTGGTCTGCAACATCTCCACCTTACTCAAACCTGGAGGCTGGCTACAGTGGTACGAAGACGATCGGCCTATAGCAGTCCGTCACTGTTTTCGTCCAGCTGCTCCGTCTGGTGCCGCAGAACAATCGCTCCATTCCGCCGAAAGCAAAGACACATGGCGCCCGCCACCGCATCTAGCCACGCTTGCTAGTTTCAATCGACTTGCCATGGACGATGACAGGGCTCTGGCTATGAACTACGGCTACATGAATTTGGACGTACTGACGAAAGATCCCGAATTTGGAAATCTGGAGAATGTTGCCTGTGATGGCTTCATCGTTGATCGTCACGACGATGGTGGAAAGATGCGGACAGCGTACGCTGTCATGGGTATCAGCGCCGTGCGGAACATGTTGAAATGGCGTGAAGCATCAGGCCAAAAGGTTGGCAATGTCAGCAGCGATGAGTGGTCAGACCAGGCCATGAGGGATATTGAAAACGGTGCACACTTCGTATCCCGCGCTACTTGTTTCGTCGGCAGGAAGAAGATGTAGGCGGTTAATGGTTTCAGGTAATGTTCTCTTTATGATTCTATGAACCCCAGCGCTTATGCGAGTACTTCAGGAGCACTACGCCAGCAATAGCGAGACCGCCGAACAATATCAATATCTGGTAACCGTATTTGTATTTGGGAGCATCGTACGTCGGGAAAAGCACAACTGTCTCCGTCAGCCTGTTTCTACACCGACTCAGGTTGGAGAATGTCTTACGAGGTAACACTGCTAGCAATGTGTAAGTGAAGATGTTGCCAGTAGCAACAAGCAACTGTCTCAAGTTTGGGTCTCCAGCATTCAGATGGTGACCCCATGCCTCGAGAGAAGTCAGCAACACGGAGGCATTCTTGAGCGCTAATGATCATGCTTACAATAACGATAGGCTGCGCTGCAGCTCCCGCATAGCTCAGATAGAAGGCTGCTAACAGCGCTGGCTTCGGCACATTCCAGACGGACAAGATGATGTTCGACACCATGACTATAAGCTGGACGAGAATACTCAATCCCAACCGCTGGCCGGTGTAATCAGCAGCAATACCAAACGACAATGCAGCTACCACGCTTAACGCATTGCCAGCCGTCGGAAGAACGTTAGTCTGCACAACGCTGTATCCTTCGGCCTTTAGGTACAGGTTGAAATAGTTCGTCCCGTTCCCAGCGAGGGCGACCATCAAGTACGGCAGAATAAAGATCCACAGCCTCCAGTCGGTGTATACATGTCGAATGACGGACAACGTCAACTTCTGGGGTGGTTTCCGGCCGATCCGCTCAGCGCGTTCGACACCGTAGCGCTTGTCGTCGCCTTTCCAGTAAAAGGCCCTCGTGGTGTGTGGAAGATCAGGAATCGCGAAGAATCCCCAGACTGCAATGGGCATGGAGATCACTCCGTCAAATATGAACAACCACTGCCTGTTCGAGAACATTGCGAATCAGCGAAAAGGGCGCATGTCCTCGGACCGTTCAACTTACCAGCCTTTCAACCCCAAGCGCCCATTCATGCCTTTGTATAAGGCAGCCTGGAGATACCCAGAGAACATACTGGATATAGCACTCGTCTGCTCGAAGATGGCCACGCGCTTGCTCAGCTCCGTGGGACCATACCATCCACCGAGCAGTGCGGCGTATCCCGGAAAAGCGCATGCTTCAGCCAATCCTACAAAGAAACGAAGGGCGTAAAGCGTCTCGACATTCTTTGCGGCAGCCATACACATCACCAGGCTGGTCCATACCACTTCGCAGGCCGGAATCCATATGGACGGGCGCAAGAACTTAAGCTGGATCATCTGTGAGGGCACTGTGCCGATGATGATTCCGATGTTGAAGCTGAAGATCCCCTCTGTAAGTGGTTTGAAAAGCATGCAGATTGCTCGATACACCCACTAGGTGGTCAGCCAGTTCCTTTCGTTGCCATATAATTGAAGCTGCCGAAGGTTAGCATCGATCTGAACTTTCCGAACTGCTCCCAGGAAGCTTACATCTTCTTGCATGCCGCTCACGAAGGCATTGCTAATATTCGTCTGATCTAGGTACTTGATGAAATATCCAAGACAGATATACGAACTGACAGCGAGGTTAAAGATGTTCCAAAGAATCGTCTCTACGCCGACATACAACATGAATGTGTCTAGCTTCTGGACATAGCGTCGATCCCTAGGAGGTCCATCCAGTGTGTCCCAGAAAAGAGCAACAAAGCGTCTCAACCTGGACTTTGGAACATGCTCGTCGGCTGTTCGTTCTTCGTTCTCTGACCTGTTCGAGTCAAGAGGGTCCGGACGAACCTGGACCTCGATACCAGCTTCTGCCTTGGGATCGACGGTGCTGGAGGCCATGGCTTCCGTTGTAGTCAAACGACACTCTCGTGGAAGTACAAGCTGATTGAGCAGTTCACACCTTTACATTCACATTTACATCAGAATCTCATTCTTTACTTCTTGCAAATTTGCAACGCACACCAGAGCCCACACAGATGGCGACTGCACTCGCCTCGAGACGAACGTGGAGCCAAAGTCATGGCAGCGAGCACCGCATTCCCTCGCTTCGTTGCCTGTTGATTTGCAGTGCAGCTCAACAGTACACATGCTTACCAAGAGATACGGGAAACTTTTTCCATTGGCGGCCAGCTACTTTTGCGTGCTTGGATCCTGGTGGTACAGTGTGTCCTGCCAAGGCATACAGGATGCATGTCGCCATGATCCCGGTCAAGCTCGTGAGCTGGCTCTGCCTAGCCATCTATATACGACCGCGATGAAGTTCCATTTTGGAGATACTAAGATAATCAAAGTTTCAGCCATGGCGACACAGACTATTAGTCCGACCGATGCGTCAAAGGAACAGTTGAAATTCGAGACATCAGTTGATTACGAACAGAACAAGGTGAGAGATGTGTCATTCAATCCTGATCAACGCATGCTCACTCCAAACTCAAGTACGAATATGCATCCTACCTGCCACACTACGTGCCAGGCCTCCAACCAGCCCTAGAAGAATTCCAACATGAAGATGTCGGCCTCCGCGCAGACCCCAACAAGACCTCTCTCCTAACGGCGCCAGGCAGCACATTCGAAGAAATTACACCAGCAATCGGCACAGAAGTTCACGGCCTACAACTGTCTTCCTTGACATCTGCGCAAAAGGACGAACTTGCTCTCCTCGCAGCAGAGCGCGGCATTGTGGTCTTCAAAGACCAAGACTTTGCAGATGTTGGTCCGGAGAGGCAGCGAGAATTCGGGCGACACTTTGGTCCTCTTCATGTTCACCAAATGGGCAGTCAGGTCGAAGGCTATCCGGAACTGCTGCCTGTCTATCGTGACTTCACTTCTGGGGCTGTGGATAATGAGATCAAGGATAACGTGAGCAGCATCAAGTGGCACACCGATATGTCGTATGAGATGTGCGTCGTGAAGATTATGCATGCACTTGGAGTTTTGGTTGACGAGTTGCAGTAACGGCATAGGAACAACGATCTTCTACTCCCTCTCAACGCCGAAATCTGGCGGCGATACACTATATCTGTCCACAACCGCAGCATACAACGCTCTTTCTGAAGACTTCAGAGAGCGCCTTCATGGCTTGACTGCAAACCATTCGGGCTTTTCCCAAGCCAAAGTCGCAGATCACAGAGAGCGATATATTCGGGAACCAATCGAGACTGTGCACCCCGTTGTGCGGACACATCCTGTGCGTATACACCCTAAGTACGACGTGTACAAGGCTGATCGGGTAGCAGGTCACCAAAACCAACTCCCTCTACATCAACCGCCTATACACCCGCAAAATCCAGGAACTCAAAAACCAAGAAAGTGAAACGCTACTCAACTTCCTCTATAATCACATTGAGCATGGCCAAGATTGGCATATCCGCGTGCATTGGAAGCCAGGCACAGTCGTGGTGTATGATAATAGGGTCACACAGCAGTACGTTCAACTCCGTGAACTCAGAAGCTGATTTCTCGCTGACGTCCTGCCTCCAGCTCTGCATTGCGAGACTTCAATGTGAAAGAAGGCGAGACGAAGAGACATATGCTGAGGATCACGCCGCAGGCTGAGAAGCCGTATTTTGATGGCGAGGCTATCAGGGGTGGCCAGTAGGTCTATATCATTCGGCAAGGCTACCTAACCCAAAGAGAGCCGGGCAACACAGATCCGTTGGGCCTATTTGTGTGTGGCTTGGCTACCCTCTTCATTTCCCCCTGTCCACCATCAATCTTGCCGAAGTCGACAGTGGAACGCAGCATTGACTTCTCCACAGCCTAGCACTCGAAGAAATATTCAAGTATCGACCTCTGCATCAACCGCAAGCTCCACGCGCCACTTATAAAGCTCAATGCTGCACCAAACACCCTGCAAGAACTCCAGCATCCTCTTTGCCAGCTCCTCTGGCTGCTCTTCAGGAATGTAGTGACCACAGTCTGCAATCTCGCCGCCTCCGACATTGTGAGCCAGTCCTTCCATAGACAGCTTCAATCCCCAACCGACGGCATGCTGTCCTCCGAGAGCGAGGATAGGCATGTCTATGAATTTCGAGCCGGGCTCTTTGTTTTGAGCCGAGCTGGTGGCGACTGCACGGTAATATTCGAATCCTTGCGTCATGGCCCCAGGTCTGGAGTAGTATTCGACGTATCGATCCCGTTTTGCTTGCGTGATACGTTCTGGATGCTGCGATTTTCGATCAAACAACCAGTCGAAGAGTTGACGTTCCCGTCCCTGCGTCAAGATCTCTGGGAGCTCGGGCAGAGAGTTGAAGCTGAACTGCCACAGCTTCTCGTTCACCGGCGCCGGCAGTGGAAAGGTCATCGATGGAGCATGTCCAGGGACGGCCGAGTCCAGCAAAGTCAGACTTCGCAGACGATCGGGAAACTGAACAGCCCAAGCAAATGCGATCCAGGCGCCAATGTCGTGTCCGACGATGTGGTAGGCGTCCGGGATAGAGGCTTCGATCGATTCTGCAAGAAGGCGGCTTATGGTCCTCGTGTCGTAGCCTTCCGCGGACGGCGCCGAATCTCCTAGGCCGGGAGGATCGAGCACCCATACTTCGAAGTGTGGCGAGAGGTAGGGAAAGAGTTCCGCGAATGCTTCGGCGGTTTGAGGCCAGCCTGGGAGGAGGAGTAGCGCGGTTCCTTTTCCTCCAGTCAGGGCGCGAACACCATGCTTGAGTGTCTTGGTCTGCATTTTGGGGGATGCTCGTTTTGATGGAAGGATGGCCGATTTTCAGGGAATGAAATGTCACATTGTCAACTATATTTGTACATGACTGACTCACTCGATGTATCCACTGCGACACAAAACGAGACAGCGGAACGACAATTGTGGGATCACCCGCACGGCCAGCTCCATGTGGGATTGTCGCCGTGATTCAAACATTTCTGAAGACAGAGCAACACAAGTGGACGAGCAACCCGGTGCCGAAGAAGGTACCGACATTGCTTACTGTATGCTGACGCAGCCGTCAATAATTCGATGGCTTCTAGGTGATCAACGATTAGTCGTTGCCTTGACTGAAGACAGACGTGAGACAGAATGCCATCCTTCAGGAAGTGGAAAGATGGCCGAGAAGTCGGCTCAAGCGTTTCCTCCGGTACAGTCGATATCGCCCACGTGGTACCGCAATAACGGCGAGGGGGACTACTAGCGCCATCACGGAATGCTTTCGATTGGACAATGGCAGCACGAGCCATGGACCGCCCGGTCCGCCAGGGTCCGGCAGAGTGAAGTTCGACGTCACCTATAAACCAGGCTGAGAGCCTCAACACCTCCAGATCACAGATCTATCATAACATCGACAGATCTCGGGTCGCTCTTCAGACAACAGAGCGAGAGTATCCCTATCCATCTGCGAAATATGGGGACGCGGCTTAGGCTGCTCGGTGCTAACAAATCACTGACAGAATAATCACTCACGAAACAGCCTCTGGATCTCGATGCCTGTGGCGGCGGCACTAGAGGGCGCAGGGTACATGTGTATAGCGAGACACGAGGCCCTGCATGTCGACATATTCACTCGCACCGTGCGATAAGTCTTCGAGGGTGAGCCACTCAAACCAGGTATACGCGATTTGCATCATCATCATCATCAGCACCCCCGCTCGCACATTTCCATACTCCTCCCAGAGAGTCTGAAGTGTATTAATTGGGACATCTTACTCCTCACCTTCCTGCAATCATGCCTCTCCCCTCCTCATCCGCAGCAGCTCGAATCCCCAGCAGCAAACCTGAACCACCCACACAAGCTCCTCCTCCTCCTCCGCCTTCGCGCACCCCAAGTCACCACGGCTGGGGCGACCACTTCCTGGACAAATTCATCCAAGCGTCCAACTCTCGCTCTTCCTCGTCTTCTACTGCCAGCCACACCAGCCTCGATGCACACCGCTCATCAACGCCGTCGAGCGCTGCCAGCGGCCATGATTGATTTGCGACTGGACACACTTGCGATCACGCAGTCGAAGCAACGCCGGGTGTTCTGCACTGGTCATCTGCACCGCATCGACGAAGACTCTGTTCTATGCGCTTGTGACCACAAATTGCCGGCGCTCAACACCACCGACATGGAGCATTCCGACTTGAAAGACCACGACGAGCTCGACGACGAGGTGGAACCCCAAGGTCGGAACAGTCTCTACACTCCTTCCTCCGAGCGACACGTCCGCTGGTCTGCGGAACTGGCTGATATTCTCCAGCCCTCGCCTACTTCGAGCAGAGCTTCGAATCGTATCTCAAAGCTCCTGGGTCGAGGCTCCTCCAGCAGATTGAGCTCGCCTGCAGGCAGTGCTAGCTCGAAGTCTTTGCTCAAATCCTCAGCACAAGGTGCTGATTGCAGAACGACGACAGTCAAGGCTTAGCTCCGGATCAAGGGCAATTTGTTGTGAGAAAGGTTTCGATCAGGTGGTCGGAAAAATTTGAACAAGGTGTACGGATGGTTGGCGTAAGGATCGGGAGGCGTTTTCCGGCAAACTGCGTATCCCGCTTATAGATTAGACCATTGAGTGCGCGAAGCACGTTGTGCATTAGCTAGCTGCCCAAACTGCATTAGAAACGCCCAGCTGTCTTCCCTGGAACCACACGTGCGTCCTCCGGCGCATCCGCAAATCCTCCTCCTTTGCTTCATATCCTCCCTTCGATGAGATCATATCGCACTTCGAAACACCCTGCGGCGTCAGCACAACGCAGCCAACGTCTCAGTCTTGACAATACAATGTCCAGATGAGGACAGCATTCCGCGGCCTGAAGAAAGCAGCTAGTGATCGAGAGCAAACTCCACAGTAACGCTGGAGATATCCGTCGACGAATTGATGACGAAAGCCACAGTCAGCTACACTGCGACCCAAAGATTCAGTCATCGACAACCTAACAAAGAGCCCAGATTGAGAGAAAAGCCCCAGAAAACCATCCACAAAACTCCCCGCAGCCACTCAGACCGAGGAGCTCAAAAACACTCATACCTTGTACACATTTGCGGCTATCAGTAGTAGCTAGCAAGTAGTACTTGTCAGAAAAAGGAGAACCCACACCGCACCATGTCTTATCTTATCTTATCTTGCTCTGTGGTCTTACAATGCCCCTTGCAGCCCATCTTGCCCTCTGCATTTTGCACACCAGAAACGCCCCACCCATGCCTCGCTATGCTCAAGCAAGTGTAGTGTCCCCAAAAGAAACCCGTCTGTCTTTTCGACTGTCCTCTCTACGCTTCCATTTCCTCAACATCCTCAACCTCCCCATCCTCCCCATACTCCCCCATCTCCGTATCCCCATCCTCATCCTCACTTTCCTCATCGTCATCAGCATCTTCAAGATCCAAATGATTCCCATACGCAACCGAAACAGCCTTCCCATTCATATCGAACCCATCCAGCACGAAGCCAGAGCCATGGTACCAGTAAGGCTTCTTCTCCCGCTTGTTGCCCTGCTCTCGCAGTTTCTCCTCCGCCACATAAGCCTCCGCGTCGCGTCGACACTCCTGGGCGATCTCGTCTAGGTTTCGGTCCTGGACGAACAACTGCAGCTGCTCGTCTTGGATCTTGAAGTCGTGTAGGAGACCGTCGAGAAATTCTTCATCCGCGAAGCGGTACGACAGATCCTGGGGCGAGCAGCCAGCGCCGAGGCACTCGCTCGGCGTGAGGATGCGGATCGCGTTCGATGTGGTCAGCAGTTCCGACTTGGCGAAGTGGTACAGTGTGATCCACGTCGCCGTGGCTCGGATCGCCGCCTTGCGTTCTTGATCCGACTTCTTGCCGGAGAGGCTAACTTGGGTGGCCCAGTCATCGTAGACGTAGCAGCGCTTCCAGATCATCTTCAACAGAGTCTCGAAGCGTTCGGTCGTCAACCTCGCAGCAGACATTTCCAGAACTGTGAGTGCCTGAACAAACTCCGTCCCCTGCAGATTGCCCTCGTGAGAGAAGTCTTGCTCCAGGTCGATCAGAGTCAGAGTGTCGATGAGCTGTTCCGCTTCCAGCACCGCATGATCGCACAGAATTCTGATATTGCTCTCCAGAAGCCTTCGCAGGGCAGGATGATCTGCGACGTGTTTCCCGTACGCTGACATGCAGTTCTCGATGATGGACGGCGGATCGAGCGAGTGTATGATGGTCTGCGACATGTGTTCGTAGATTCGCGACTGAATATCGATCACGACGAGGCTCCTCCGGGGATCGTTCACGGGAAGATCTCTCGAAAGCTTGGTCGCTTCAGAACGGCCGTCAGCTTCTTCAGCAGCCAACAAAGCAAGCGTCGACATAGACAGCTCAACCTTCTTCGCCCACAATCGGCTCTCGTAGTCGTTCGCAGCCTGCGCCAGGGCCTTGGAAGCATGAGCATAGTCGTTCTCCTTAGTCACGTCGTTGATCCAGCAAATCTTCGCTCTATCCGGGTGTGACCTCAGATACTTCTTCAGGGCAGGACCCCACTTCTCTTGGGCAACCTCCAGCTTCCGACCAACGTGAACGCTGGAGAAGAGTTTGTCGAAGAAAGCATCCGCCCAGAGCGTCCCATAGCGTTCGAAATATCGACGGACCTTGCCTCCTAGGACAGCGCGGGTGTTGACGATGATTGCCACACCTGCCGGGTCTGACCTCGCGTGTTGTTCTTCCTCGAGGAATTGATCCTCTGCGATGATCATGTCCGTGAGGGTGTTCATGTCGCGATACTTCTCTGCGATCTCCATACCACGTTCCGCCTGGCCCACCTCGGCAACCTGCCGACATTGTTCATAACGACCTTGCTCGTACTCAGCTTGCAATCTAGTCGCCAACTGCTGGTCCTTCTGCGAGGGCCGTGACATTCGCCAATTGATACACTCTTGAAACTGGGAACAGTAGACTTGCACCAAGCGTGGATTATTCTCCGCGAGTTCCTGCAGGAGATTGTCCGGTTCCGAGCCTTCGCCGTTGTTTTCGTAAAACTTGTTGGCAAAGTGTCGAGAAAGGCTTGCGATAAGTGCTGTCTGATCAATGAGAGGCTTGGTGGAAGTCCAGAATTCAGGAATGTCCGCATATTCTGCGGAGTCGATCAAGATTCCGTCCTCGATGAGCTCAGACAGAATGCCATAGTCGGAGCAGTGTTCCGCGCGGAATGCGAACGCCGTTTCGAAAGTCTTGAGCCAGACGTCGTTGGCCTGCACAACGAGCCGCAGAATGACCTTTGACGACAAGTTGTTATCGTCGTCCTCCAACGACTTCAGGTACACTCTCACATTACTTAGCAGCTGTTCCAGTCGGTGGAGTCCAGCAATGAAGAATTTGCGCACCGGTTCCTCGTCCTTGAGCTCTGGCCGGGTAACGAAGCTGTTGTGTTTCTGATCTTCCTCGAACCAACTGCACATCTCGTCCAGAAGCGTTGCTTTCCTCTTGCCCTTATCACTCGACATGGCGACATGCTCTTCGAATGCGATCCAGAGCTGCTGTCCGATAGCCACTCGCTCAGCGTTCCAGAGTAATTGCCACATGGTACTTCTCGATAATGCTGGGTAGTTCTGCCTCACAAAAGTAACAAGGGCCCGAAGAGCCTTCGCCTTCGTCGCTAAATGCTGCTCCATGGAAGTAGGCGAAGGAGAAATGAAGTTCGTGAAAGACGTCTCCGCGTTCAGGATCTCCTCGCTGACGACCAACGCAGCCCTGGCGACCTCATCAACGGTAAACCTCGAGGGTTTCCTCCGGGAGAAGTCGAGAATGTTGTCCACTTGTAACGACCCATAGAAGACACCTTGTTCGATCCTGCTCTTAGCAGGAATCTTCCAGCCTTCCGGTATGGTTCGCACATCGGTGGCGGAAATGCGCACAAGTCCAGCACTCTTGATGAAAGCCAGGCAAGACGACTGATTGCTCTTCGCCTCCTCTTCAAATACGCCCTGCATGGCCAGGTCCTTGTCCTGTCGTAGGTAAATAGTCTCCTCGTATACGTCCGGTTCAATATAAGATTCCTCATGTAACTGGGCATCTGGGTTGTCGCTGGCTGAATCTCGCGCATCCACGAGAATTGTCGCATCCTCGAATGTAACGTACACTGTGTGGCCTGGCTTGGGTAAGACGAGTCTGGGCTTTGCCTGGTATCGAACATCGCCTCTGCCCTCATAACCCGATAGCTGCGTGACTCGCCCTACCAATACCCGGTCCTCCAACAGAGACAGTTCAGCGAGCACGTAATTGTGCATATCGTGCGTCCCGACTCGTACAAGAACAGCAATCGACAAGGGCTGCTCTGCGCCCACAGTCGCGACCTCATTACTGTCCGGCTTGTCGAGTATCGCAAAGTCGAGAGTTGTCAACTTGTCCGCCATGCCTGCAATCTCCGGCGCAGGAACTTGCTTAAGCTCATTCGAAAGGACCTCGTCAAACTGTATGCTGGCCTTGAAATCGGCTCGTCCAGACCACTCCAGATCCCAAATAAGCACCTCGCCTCTCTCAGTCAAAGTAATTGCCTGCATTTGCCCGCGCGCGTTCAGAGGTCTCGTGTGTACCGCAGTGACGTCTTTCCTAAAGCCGCCATTCCAGAAACTCGAGAAACTGCCGAATAGTCCGCCGGAGTTGGGCTCCGTCACTCTGAGAAACTGACTCCAGATCTTGGGCTTGCCTTGTGAATCGCGCAGGGTAAGCTGCGCCAGTCGTCCAGAGCTCAGAACGACCACGAAGCCTGCGTGGGCGGCCGACACAAGCTCTGCTACTGTCTCGCCAGAGAAGAGGTTGCCAATGGAACCCTCGACGCCAGCTTTGCGGCCTTGGAATACACCCAGAGATGCTGCGCGGTCTATCGACTCGTAAAAGACAACAGCGCCAGTAGCAGCAGAGATGAGCAGCAACCCATAATCCGTAGAGCCAACATTATTCGATATGAGCGCACCAAAAGGCAGCGGTTCTCCAGCCTTCGAAGCAAAAGGCACATCAAACGTCCTCGGATTGCTCGCCGCAGTATGCGCATTGCACTCCCATATCAGCGCCTTCTGACGCGTGACAGCGAGCGCAAGATGATGTGGCCCCAGCGACCCGCGATACTCTACGCCCTCTTTTCGCAGCTCTTTCGGGGTGCTGGGCAGCAACTTGACGGTGTAGCACTGGTTGTGAGCCAGAACCGTCGCGTTGTCGCCGCGCAATGCCCTCTTCACTCGTCCCCGGATGGTCATCGTGCCATCGAGCGTCGGTGTGCCTTTGACGCTATGCTTCTCCGCCGTGGGGTGGATGTGTCCGTTCGTGAGGGCGATGTTGTGTTCCGGCGCAGGCTGCGTCTGGGACTGTGTCGATGCATCTTCGGTGGAGTCTCTGGCCTCGAAGGTTTCCTCTTCAACTTTATTTCGCCGTCTGCGCTTGGGCGCCTTCGTGGGGAGGGTATCGTTGTCGCTTTGTCGCTGGCGACGGCGCGGGTTTGTTCGCGTGCTGGACCGCAGTGTGCGCTCAGTGCCCGGCTCGGCGGCGTGCGAGTTGGACATGATGGCGGCGGTCGTCTCGTTCGCAGGCGTCTTCCTCCTCCTCGTCCCCGATGGCACAGGGCGCTGACTCGTGGTTGTGGCAGGCCGGGCGGTGATTTGTGGTGGTGGGTGGATGGCTGAAAGTGAGAACATGAAGCTTCCTTGTTGTTTACCTTTGCTCGAGCCACTTGCACCGCTTTAACTCCGATGCCAAGCCGACACCAACGAAACACCTTCACTCCGCACTCGACTTGGATTCACTTCAGTCTTTCATTCACCGCCATCAAACGTCCCTTTACATGCGCGACTTTCCGTCAAAACACACTCACCACCATCTGCGACGGCTCGATCGACGATGGCGCGTGATGCCCTCCCAATCCGTCGAAAGCGTCGCATGGCACCAACTCAGTAGCGAATCATGAGGCCATCTCGACAATAGCCTCAGCAGGATTGTGACGCTTCGACGGGACGACGTCTTGTATTCATTCACTTAATCACTGTGAGCATGAAAGTGCTGCAGTTTGCAAGAGATGCTGGACGTATCAGGTCATGCCTGCAGAGCTGTCAGGCAAGCGGCCATTGCTTTTGTTTTCAAGTATGTACACGTCTCTGAACGGTATATCTATGACCAAGTTCCTGTTTAGCTCTGGCACAACCCAGGCACCTTACTCGCCCCCCGTCCCACCAGCCCATCAACGTACGCCAAAAACGCATCAACAGGCACCATATCAAACCTCCTAAAAGAAGGATGACTCGACTGCATAATCTGTCCTCCCCACAGCACCCGCAGGAAGTAGCAGCCTCGTCGGCTGTACAGCTCAAAGACAACCTCCGCGCCCATGCCCGGCCAGACCATGCGCTCGATCTGCAAGATGGAGAGCAGTCTGGAGACGGATCCGTCGTGCGCGATGTTGTGTCTGTACTTCACGCTCGAGGGGGCCGCGCCGTCTTCGGCGGATTGGCCGTCGTCCATTGCGTGGCGGAGGTTTTGGGCGAGTTCGGCTACCCAGACGCCGTAGCTGCCGACGCTGGCGGGGAGGGATTGGCTTGAGTCGCGGTAGATGAAGCTGTATTCGTATTCGCCCAGTCGGTAGACCTCGTTGGCTTCGGCCTGGCTGACACAGTCGCTTGAGTCGCCGATCTTGCAAGGGAGAGGCTTGTTGTGGCACTGACGCGCTGAGAGGTTGTCGAAGTAGTGGTCCCAGCTCATGTGCCAACCACCATCGCTCGGGCTGACGCCGGACAATGCGTCGAGACGATTGTAGAGAGGCTGCGAGGCCGTGATGTGTTCCAACCAAGCTGGAGAGGAACTACCAGAGCCGTAGCTGCCAAACAGGCTAGATGCAGCCGGGCAACTGTACGTCGGCTCCAGCGAGTCGATGCTGTCCGGTTGAATGAGCAACGGCGTGTCCTTGTTCTTGCGCTCAGGATACATCCCAGCAACAAGCATGCTGGCGACCTGAGAAGTGATGACATTGTTGGACACTCTGTAAGAGACCACATTCGGATCGTAGTTCCCAGGAATGAAGCGCAGCATATCCGAGTAAACGCTCTTGAGATCAGCACCATGTTGATGACTATCGTCCAGCCCACCCCTCGTGATCTGCGGGAACTGGCAAGTCCCATTGAACCCCTGCGGCGGAAATGGATTCACAGCGGATGTATACACATCCCAGTACGTCGAAGCCGCAGCGTTGCCATACGGATTGAGAGGCTTGCCGCCATAGAAGAGTCCCTCGTCGTCGCAATCCCACGAATAACCCTCCCTCGGGAATGTATTACTTGCATACGGCGTGCGCTTGTGGTGGCGATGGATCAACTCGACATACTCCAGCTTGTAGTCCCTATCCGCCCTCGGATAAGTCTTCGGATTCGTATGCGGCATATTGCACCAGTCGTACGTATTCAGCGGCGCCTGGCTGGAATTGAAAATAAACCCATAAACCCCCGTCCCGTTGATGGCGGTATGCAGATTATTGACATAGTACTTGTCCGGCGCATGCCACTCCAAGCTCACATTCGTCGGCGCCGCACACTGTCCATTGCCATGGCCTCCAGTTCCGTGCCCAGGACCTCCGCCCCAGAAGCCTTGAGCATTCGAAATCGCAATGTGGCCAGCGACCAAGGCGGGGATGCTTTGATCGAACTTCATGATGGTGGTGATGGCTTGTTGGACGGTGATCATGACCAGCAGGGCCACGGCGGTGGTTTTATAGGACGGCACGCTGAGCCGCATGGGGACGTCGAGATGCTACCCTCCTTCCATCGCCGAACTTCTTTGGGCGGTGCCTGTATGATGAGGTTGGCCGGCACGTTTTCTGGTCGTTCATGCAGGTACGGCAATCGAGGGGAACGCCTCGTGGGCGCTATCGGCGAGGTTATTGGTTCTGGTTAGTGGGGATGTGGAGAGGCATTGAGTGTGGCCAAGATGCTGAGATTTTGTAGGTGGGCTTCTTCAGGGCACCAGAGATGATAGGAAAGATGGCGATCTGGCCAGAGTTCTGTGCGTGGAGTGAGGTACAAGGAAAGGAAAGCTGAGGTCACTGTCGAAGTGCTATGCTTTAAGTGGGTCCTATTGGCCCGAGCGTCAAAACGTCCCCTTTCCCTTCGACGTTCTTCAAGTCTCTATATACCTCGTCCTCCGTCAGTAGGCGTCATTCATGCGTCGAAATGGCTCGAAATCCTGGCCTCAGTCTCACGCCGCATCAGTCTTGCTCTCAGCTCAGCTCTCTTTTCCTCTGAGTTCTGGTGGCCACTGCTTTGCAGTCCATTGCCAAACTCGATTGGTCCCCTCGCCGAGGCCACCGTGAACGACCCGGAAAGCGTCTGGTAGACTCATCATGGCAACTTACAATCCTTTCAACTCGTCGCTCACGGCAAAATCTTCGTCCCCCACTCTCCCGTACTCTCACTCCGATACGGCCCCAACGCAATCGGTATACTCCCACTATACCCCACATCCCCCTGCGCCTTCTGCAACATCGCCGCCGTCTTGCCCACCAACTTCGCAATCCACCGGTCATTCACCAATCCACCCACCATCGCCTTCTTCATGCCATCCTTCGTCTGCTGATGGAGGTCTCGCGCAAACTCTTTGATCGAGTTGGACGTCGTGCCGTCTTTGAGGTTCTGGCGGATGTTCTTGGCGAGGAGTTTGAACGAGGCGATGTCTTTGACGCTGTTGAGAGGTAAGGCGGGTTTGCTGGGGCTGCGAGTGCGGAAGTCGGTGGATGTGGAGTCGTTGCTGGCGATGGAGATGCTGTCGATGTTGTCGAAGGTCGGGCTAGTGGGCGTTGCGGGCTCGTCCGATGATGGCGATGCCGTGTCTACTTCGTCGACTTCCTTCTCGAGCTCGATGATCTTCGTGGCCTTCACTAGCGCCGCGATGAAGTTTAGGAGGGATTGATCGCAGCTGGCGGGAAGGCTTGCGTGAACGCTCATGGTGATTTCGGTTTCGTCTTTCTTCGTTCGTTTGAACTCACGCTCTGTCTGAACGGCTTTGGGCAAGCTGGTAGATTCTTCAATTTCAACTTCCAGCTCCTCCTCGTCTTCCGCTGTTGGCTGAGGGGGAACGATGTGCTCGTGGTGCGGGAGCAGGAATGAGGGGATGGTGAAAGTCGCATCTGCTCCACCAAGACGAACGACCTGTCTGATCGTGCTGGATTGAGGCTCAGTGCGGTAGGCCATGACATCGTTGAACTTGAGGTATGCCACGATGTCGAAGCTGGTGCTCAGAGGGACCTGCCCCAAGCCGTGGATGTCTGCGAGCTGAAGGCAGAAGTTGGCGTCTGCCAACCAGTGTGAGATTCTGCGATGAAGTTTTCGCAGTTGCAAGTTGGTCTCTGCGTATTCCTTGAATACTTGCTGTTGCAGTAGCTGTGACACCCATTGTCCTGAGCCTGCAGCGTTGATGCTCGATATGTTGATAGGGTGGAAGTAGCTAAGAGGCGCAAGCAACAGACGCAGGAGGAACGGCAATCGATGCATGAACCGTCTCATGTATGGAGGTGACAGTCTTTGCAATGTCGTGACACGAACTGACCGCGATGGTGGGTGAGGTACAGAAGGCAGGCCGTGTAGCTCTGCAGACACTGCAGCTCGCATGTCCTGCTCATCGTCAACAGTGAAGCCGCTGCCGCTCTTGGCCTTGTGCCGGACTTGTTGCCGTGATTGGTAGACTGCACTGCTGGTTCGTATCTCGGTAAGTCTGTCGTGATATTGCCGATCTGCAATCTCATCGTCCGGTGAAAAGCTCTGCACACTGTCAAACCCGGCCCTGGCTGAAGAGTCTCGAACATAGCTAACTCCCGTGAGGGTCTCCCGCAGCTTTGGCCTATCCTGGAAGCCCTCGGAGCCAAGAGTAGCAGCTCGAAGTAGTGGTGTATCGTCGAGGAACACGCTTTCTACGCTCGCCGCATCGTCCGCTGGGTCGTCCAAGCCAGAGAAGGTCATTTCAAACTGGCCACCTTTTACGTTTGCGTAGACATCGCCAACCTCAATGCGCCGAAACAGTCGTACTGTTACTTCGTCAACGTATATTGCCAGCTCAATGTCGTCGGCGAGCTTGAGTCCTGTATATCACAGTCAGCGTATGTACATTCTATGGACTACATCGCACGCATACCAAGCTCAATGCCATGCACCACCAGTGTCAAGCTAGAGAGTGATATAGTCACACCCCGCATGACCATCAACCCATCAACCTCCGTGTCAATCTCCAACGCAGGCAAGTTGAACAACGCAATCTTATCCTTAATAAAATGCGGATGCTTGCCGAGCGCCTTCCGGAGAGCTCTCCTCGCATAGTGCGCCGCCGTAGGAAATTGAAACAACGAAGTGAGCCCCACAGAGATCCAGCATAGCGTCGCGAAGATCCCGTGCAGCAGCCAGGAGGTCGAGCAGATGGCGTAGATGAGGTTGAGAGTCGCCAGCACGGTCCAAAGCGGTATTGAGGAGAACACCCGACTTCCAGTCCTCGAGCCCCAGAGAATCAGGCTGCTCTCTATGCCAGCACCGGATAAAAGCCATATTCGAGCCAACGGGAAGGCTGCAGCGAGCAGGACCAGGATTGCGCCGCCAAGGAGAGGTTCTTGCCAGTAGGACGCGCTCGATCTTCTAGGCTTGTGATGTTCCGATCGTCGAGGAACGGGCTTCCTCGGTATCATTACTTCAACAAACAAGTTAGCTTTAGACGCCAATAGCATCCACTCCACGAGGGCGGTGGCCGCGATTGGAAGACATACTGGGATTCGGCGCCATCTTGCAGATGTGCCTGGCTGCTGTAGCACAGCCTCAGGAGAGGTCAAGCTTTCCTCGATTCGCCTCAGCATGAGCTTCAGGTGCCTCAATTGCTTGTGTCGCTCGTACGGTCAGCTCTGTTACACATCAATAATGTCTTCCGAGTGACTCTTCAGATGGTGAATGTCTGCGATAGGAGTGACGGATGTGGCGTTCGCGGAATTTGGCCTTGGCAGGTGATTTTCTCTCCGTCGTCATGAGGCGGTCATCGTAATTCGTACACATGTAGACTTGGAACTGGGGGATCGGCTTTTGTCATAGAACCTTTGCATTGTTTTAATCGTCGTTGTAGCTGTCGCATGTAGCGATGGTGGTTCAATGGAGGGTTCGTCGCCTGGGCTACCCGATAACCGGCGAGGCTCAAAGAAGCAGGGATCGACAAGAAACGACTACGCTTGGAATGGGAGGTACACAGTTAAGACGAGTATAAAGAAAGCTCGCAGCATACTTTCAAGTCGGGTTCAATTTGATGGCATCGTATCGTATCGAGTCATAAATCATGCAAACTCATCGCCTCCAGTATACAATACTCCGTCGACGACACGCCACCAGCTCGCAAGCTATCATTATCAGTATTGCCGAGCTCACTGCTAATTCCTCACAGCTCTCCTTACCCTCTTCCCAACACCGCCTCCGATCTTGGCCCTGCCGTGGATCTCATCACTGTCGGTGTTGTCCATCTCCCTCCAGAGGGCCTTGGTCTGCTTGTGGAGAATCCTCATCAAAGAGTTCTCCTTCAAGTGGTCGGGTATTTCAACCTCTGGCATCTTGTTCGACGGCGGCGATTCCTTCTCGCCTGTCTTTTCCTCTGTGCTCTCCAGTGACTCGCCTTCCTTGACGAGGCGAGCCGAACCCTCGACGGCCTTGGACTCCTCAACAGCCGCATCAGTGACGGTGACATATGCATCGTCGTCGTCGTCCTCTACATCCGCGCGGCCACCAACAAGAGCAAGCAGTGTTTGGACGAAGAGCTCCTTGAGGTAGGCAAAGCTGAAGCCTTCGGTGAGTTGTGCGATGACTTTGGAGATGTCCTCATGGAACTCGACGTTGCTGTTCTTCTGAAGCTTCTTGCGCCAGTACTCGCAGTATAGGATCCTCTCTCGCTCACCGGGCAGCTTGTAGTGGTACTTGCGATCGAAACGAGATGGGCGCTTTGCAATTCCTGGGTCGAGACGTTCCAGATGGTTGGTACTGCCGATCATGAGGATACCGTCGTTGTTCTCAAGACCATCGACCTCATTGAGGAAATAAGAGCGCACTTTGTCGGTGACAAGACTGTCCAAGTCCTCGAAGATAAGCATACAGGGAGCCATATTGCGGGCCAGGCGGAAGATGGTCAGGATCGAGTTTTGCTGTCCTTCTTGCGCCTCGAACGACTTGACATACATGCTCGCGACGTTGCGTGTCTGCAAGGAGTTCATCAGAGCCTTGATGGAGATGGTCTTTCCGCAACCGGGTGTGCCGTGAAGGATAATGCCGCGCTTCCAAGGGACTGAGTACTCTTCGTAGATCTGGCGAGAATCGAAGAACCCTTCCACGTCCTTGATCAGGGTGTCCTTCATCGCTGGATCCAGGATCACATCGTCCCAAGATGAGCCCTGGACCGACTGCCAAAGCTTGTGGTTTTTCTGCCAGTTGCCACCATCGAACACGTAGATCTCCTCGTGTGGTTGCGAAGACCAGGTGCCAGCGGCTTTGATGAGTTCATCTGCGATTGGGGAGTGTTCCTCGCCGTTCATTTGGTCCTTTGGTGTCAAGATGAAGTAGTTCTGAAATTGGCCACAGTTGGTCTGCAAACAAACGTAGTACACTTGAAGCTCGTTGCCTTTCCATGTGTAGTTGTAGAGGCCGAAAGCAACGTTCTCGCCGAGCTTGCCATCGCCGCCTTCCATACGTGTGGTGGGAGGTGCATACATGCGGGAGCTGATGACCTCGTTCGTCTCCCGGATGAGGTGGGCCTCTGCATTTCCAGCATTTGCAAAGGTTACAAGGTCGGCATACCGCCTGTTGACCGACGTGACATGCTGGTCTGGGTGGATGCTTCGGATGAACTCGAGAACATTGATTTCCATCTCGGATCGCGGGGCGGAGCAGAAGGCCTTGTAGCGGCCATAGACTGTGTTGGAGGCATCGATGCCAGCATCGCCGTAGTCGCCCATATTGTTACTGCGTAGCGGTTCTTGCAAAGAAGGTAACAGTGAGGTGGGAGTTGAATGAGAAAGAGGAAGACGGTAGATGAATTGAAGGCCTACTTATACTCCATCGCCACAGACAACAAGGCAGCAGAGATGGATGCCAAGGGCCGCCCTTATGGCCTGGCGCGCGCAGAAGTCAGTCGACTCACCGGTGGCGGCGTGCATTCGGTATGCCAGAGAGGAAGGCGAAGCTGTAGATCTGGATGAGGCTTCAGTCACACCGCAGCCAGGATCGATGCCATACTGCGATGGCTATGACTGTTTTATGGAGAACTCCAGGAATGGGTGCCCGGGCGCAGGCAGGCAGACAGATGGACGCTTGGCGGAGACAGTGCCGCGGAGAATTACCTAAGCATGCCCTAAGCCCAATCGGAAATTGATTGAACCCTGAGCTCACGTGTCAGCAATTCACGGAGTTGGTCCTCATCAGCAGTGACGACAACAGCCAGACCGACATTGGTACGAAAATACCCTCGCCAACGACAAGATGTGGTCCTCCCTGGGCTGGCTCGGCCTTGCCATCCTGTTCGCCCATGCGCAAGCTCTATACTTCTACATCGACGGCCCCACGCAAAAGTGTTTCTTCGAGGAGCTGCCCAAGGACACGTTAGTAGTTGGTATGAGCACACAAACGCCGCGTAAAGGGGGCGCATAGCACTCACAATCACCTCCAGGCCACTTCAAAGCGACGCAATGGAGCGAGCAATCGCGATCATACCAGCCCAACCCTGAAATGGTATGCCCCAGCCCACCTCCCGCCAAGACCAGTGCCCTCTAACACTTCACCTCCCAGGGAATCTTCATAACCGTCGACGAAGTCTTCGACAACGACCACCGCGTCGTCTCCCAGCGCGGCCAAGCCTCCGGCAAGTTCACCTTCTCCGCCGCCGACTCCGGCGAGCACCGCCTCTGCTTCACGCCCACCAACGTGCCCGCGACCTCCGGCTTCCTCTTCAGCGGCTCGCAAGTCGGCGGCATCAAATTCGAGCTGGACATGGCCATTGGCGAGACGTCTCAGATCGAGAGCTCCGACAAGGATAAGATCGGCGAGGTCGTGCAGAAGGTGAGGGATTTGAATGCGCGGTTGCAGGATGTCAGGAGGGAGCAGGTGTTCCAACGGGAAAGAGAAGCGGAGTTCAGAGATCAGAGTGAGGCGGTCAATGCGAGGGTCGCGAGATGGGCGTTGTTGCAATGTCTCGTTCTGGGTTTGACTTGCGCCTGGCAGTTGACATACCTGAGGGCGTTCTTCATCAAGCAGAAGCTCACATAAAGTGTGCTTTCCTGCTTGGTTTTGGAAGAGTGGCATAGCGCGGGTATTACGGCACGGTCAAAGGTGTTGGTGGTGGAGATGTGAAGTGGCTCGGGAAGCCAGTACGTCTCCAATGCCTGTACTGATATTATAGAACATTTGAAAAAGCTGCTTGTTTACCGCCCTTAGGCGTCTCACCGACCCGCGAACATGACCTCGATATCGCCCTCCTCAGCTTGCTCAGTACCACGCGCAAGAGCACCGTCCAGCTGGATCTCGATCTCGGCGTACAGCCTGTCCTGTTCCCTTTGCTCGGCTTCGTCCTTTCCCACCAGAAACCAATCGTCTTCATCCCCAGCCGTCGCCTTATCCTGCTGTTCGAGCTTCACAATCTCATCTTTCAGCCTTCGAATGCCCACCGCAAGACCAACAACGCAATTCTGATACGTCAAATCGTCTGCAAACTTCGCCGCCATGACCATCTGCTGAAACTCCTGAGTTGGAATTTCCGCTATAGGTCCAGAGGTGGCCCATTCGAGGACTTTGGTGGCCTGAGTCTCATATGTCAGCTTTACTCTGGGATTGGCAGTCGACTCACGATCGTGGCTTGGCTGGCATGGCTCTTGCCCCTGTCGATGGCTGCTCCAAGCTCGGTCTGCTTGTCTTGGTAGACTTGGATGGCATAGCGAAGGGCGACCTCGAGCTCGTACACGGTGAAGTCGTTCACGTCGATGAAAGATGCTTGGGCGTGGTTGACGTTATGGTAGGGTGTGGAGCTGGAGATCCAGGATTGGAGGTTTGGTAGGTCTGTTGGGACTTGGGGCATTTTGGCTTCCTTGGTCAATGCCTAGTGATAAGGAGTATCGGCCATGGGGAGAAGGGAGGATGAGGAAGGGGATGGACGCCTCGATGAGCCCCTGAGTTGGATGTCCCTTCCCTTTGTGAGGTATGTTTCTCCCGCTGGCGTCAGGCTGAGTCTAGGCTCAATCATATGTACCAGATATGCCTTGGACAGATGACGGTGCTTCGGCGTGCTACTGTCTCAGATTTGAGGCATCTGTAAGAATGGAAAACTTTGGATGGGCCCGACGAAATGGTGTAAGCCGGGAAATAAGGAGTTCAGTAGAAAAAACCTGTCCGTAGGACGTGAGGTTGGGATCGAGTAGGCGCGATGGCTACATTGTTAGGCTTGTGGTGTATTGATCTGCTTGCTGATATCTGCTTAGGGTTTGTCGACTGGAACGTCAATTACTTGACCAGTCACGACAGTGTCCTCAACGACGAGCGGTTCGAGGTGAGAGATGTCGAATACATTATCAAAACGTCGATTGCACTGATCTTGCTATCTGAGTATTTCCTGGTTTCATCTCCGTTAATCGCAAGCTGTCCGTCCTCCTGAAGCTGCAGCTTTTGGTCTGGTCACTATAGATACTGACCAGATGGTAGGTAGTTCATGAATCCCAATTTGACGGGAAAGACGAGGTTACACAAACCCCAGCCGCAATCGCTGTGACAAGGGGTTGTTGTGGGACTGCTCCACACTTCACCAACCATCAATCAACTTTCGCCACTCTCGTCCACCTCGCAACACTTCGTGAACATACCCAAATGCCCCCCAAACCCCCACATGCACACAAGATCTCGAAGCCGTTACTCTGGCTATTCGGGGCTGGCCTCATCATTGGACCCATAGCACTCGAGCTCGGCATCGACTATATCTGGGGGCGCGTCCAGCGCCGACTCAACGACAACAGAGCCTACCCTAGTGGAGGCTACCATCAACACATGTGGCGCGGACTGGAGAAAATGAAAGAGGTACGAACGTGCCGGCTGATGAACGGAAGTCACGATGAACTGATGGAGTCGTCCAGGTGTACCCAAACTGTGCCGTACTGCCGCAGATGACGGATCGCGAACCCAATCCAAGAGCCTGGGTCGAGAAGTTCAACTTCGTTGTTGATTGCAGAAAGATTCCTGCTATGAGCAGGTATAGTGGTGTTAAGAGATTTTGGCGAGGTCGAATCGTGGATGAGCAGCCGTAAGTCACAAGTAACACAAGGCCGAAGCAAGGGGCTTCCCGCCATCACCTTTGATTTTTCTTCAAAAGAATAACATCTTACTCCTTCTTCCAGCGCACCGAACTCCCGAAACAGCCCGGGACCACACGAAATGCCCGACTCACAAGTCTCCACAACCATAACGATCACCGGCCGCGTCAACGAAGCCTCACTCTCTCCTGATCTGGTGAAAGTTTTGAGAGTACGTACAGTCTCCAACTCACACGCCGGCCCTGGCTATATTTGCTAACTATAAACTCTAAAAAGAAGTATTCGCACTGCACTGTGTATCCCCTGGAACTGCGTAAGGAGGACGATGGGAGCTTCTGGGCGACTGTAAAGCAGTCTCATTACTTTGTGGAATGTCCGGGCACGAAGCCCGGGCTGAAGATGGTTACGAAGGAGGGGAGTGTTGTGGATGTGAAAACGGAGCGTCCCTGAAGATGAAACGTGGAAATGGAAAGCCACGTTGTCGATTCGAACGAGCGGTCTGCAAAGCACGAGAAAGGTGAACGTTGTGTAACAAGCGCCTTGCAAGGGATGGAGAAGATCCCAACCGGTCTGTCCCGATTGTTGACATTCCTTTTCTCTATTTACCTCAGGAAACCCGCCCAGCACATCCTGTAGATAATGCCACTCTCTACGCATATCAACACGAACGCCAAAGCCTTCGGTTTGCTGTGCTTCGTACCGCTGTTCTTCTTAGCACCATTCGCAGGCGATCGCCAGCAAGGCAAGAGGGGAGAGAAGAGACTACGGGAGGTGATGCTTTCCCATGCCGTGATTGATCAATAACGCCTCGGACTAGACTGATTCATCGAGAAGGCTTTTCCAGGCTGCATGGTTGGACATGAAAAACCAATAAAAGGGAAGCATCACTTCTGGGTCGAAGGGTGTCTAGTTGGATCCGAAGAGAGGTTCGCTAGAGTTGATTTGTGAGATGTGAGGTCGATGACGCTGGTGAGCGAAATTATCTACTCTTCCCGATAGACGTTGTATATCCGTATCTAAGGGCCCGTGTTGTCCGTTGACGCCGAGGGAACACTGGAGCTGTACTGAAGTAAACATGTCTATTTCTCTAGTCCTATTCACTCCAGTCGAAAATATCCACAACAGCGTTCCTACACCGCCTCCCCGCCAAAGAATGATCGCAATCTCCGTTGGATAGTCTTGCTGCAACCACAACGCTTGCTTGTCTGTCAATTTGGAAAGCAGAGAGCAAGATTGAGCAGGTCAGTCAGTCTTTGACACAAGCTCGAACCGTTTGATCTGTCTACTAACTTTGGGAGCAGGCATAACCAGGCTGTCTCGTCTGGTCGCAGCTCACGAAGCGTGAACCGACACAAGAGTTCACGCCACCACACGAGCTGTTCAACTTTGTGGTTGTTTGTAGCCTGATCATTTCAATCGAGAGCCACTCCACCGTCCTCACTTTCCTCTCCACTGCTGCTTGTTGCGAGAAGTTGTGGCGACACTGTACCCGAGCTTTCTGGCATCGTCAGAATGTCGTTTGGTCCTCCAGGAGCTGCCTCTTTCGCGATCAGTGAAGTGATGCCAGTGCTAGAGTCAGGGTGCCATCTCATGCTCTTATGCGTATCCAAGACTTTCCTCATAACCGCATTTCTTACCTCCTGTGTTAGTCTCAGCATAATGTCACGTTGTCGAAGAGCCCCCACCTCGCCAGTCGATTTGGCCAACGCTGGCGGCTGCCAGTTCGGATAGACCTTGTTATGGCATGGCGGACGCGTAAACGCCCCAGGATGGTTGCAAATGTAGTGGTAGCAGCAGAAACATGCCGGTTTGCTGCAAGCTATGTATTTATCGTCGTTGAAGAACTTGCAACCATTATCGTGCAGAGCTTCGAGTAATGTAAGTTCTGCATGGACTCGTGGCTGCCAGTCTTTGCCTGTGTAGAACTCAAGTATGCGAGACATGAGCGAGCGTTTATCGTCCAAGATCTGCAATGCTTCTTGAAACTCTTTCAAATCGGACGACTGACTTGGGAACATTCGACCGCAGATTCCAGCGATTGTCAGCCCACCGTAAGGGCCAGGCCGGTGCGAGATTGCTGTTGAGTCTTCACGCTCAAGCATGAAGTCACAGAAGAAATGAGGGTAGCTCATAGCGGCATATGTTAGGACCCTGGCTGCACGTCTGGGTGCACAAAGGCGCCCTATATAGTGACGAATTGCAGTCCGCGTCTCGTTCTCCATCAATACCGGCTGTCCAGTCAAAGGGTCAAAGTCAACGCGGAGATATTTCGAGTGTCTCGCTTCATAAGCTGATTGCGCCAACTCGTGCCAGTCAGCGGATGTTTCGAGGGGCTTGTGGAAACTTTGTAGCCAGAGGAAGTATTCTGAGAACACGTAAAGTTAATTTATGAGTTTAATCAGTCGTGGGATGTTTACAACGAACTGTCTGCATCCAACTTTCCCCTGACTTCGCGGCTGAGTTGTGCCTTCCTCAGTTCAGTCTCGATCGGCTTATGCAGCAGCCTCCAGTACTGCTTGATTCGGGTTCGCTGGAAGCCAACGAACTTCTCGAAAAGGCTTTGCTCAAACACATGACACGACCCCTCGGAATTCTTTGACAGAGCTTTAGTCTGCAACAGCTCCAAAAGTTCTCTCAAAAAAGACTCGATTTTGTCCAGAGCGCCGTTGGCAGCCACCCAATATCGTGGTCCACTTGGTACATTCTCCGCCGCTATCGCCGTTACAGTGTCGCCGCCTTTTAGAAAGTCGCACATGACAGACAAATGATACAACACACTTCTGCGCATCTCTACTGCTTGAATGTCTCCAAGGTTTGGGTCTTCTAGACTTTGTGCGATTATTGGAGGTCCTTGCGCTTGACCCAGGACTCGTAAAAGCAGTAAGACTTCGTAAAACCGTTTCAATAGCTTCGGATTCAGATGTGAGCCCATTTCCAGCCTACGCTGCCTGCAAGGCTAATGACCAAGGTGCCGGTTTGAATAAGAAAGTGATACTGGTGTAGCAACGGGCAGAAGCGCTGCTTTTTGCTCAATCCACAATCTCAGCCTCGTGCAATCACATGCCTTCTCCACTCACACCTTGCGAACGTGTGTAGCGCTTATTGGTCGAGCTTGCATGCTTTTGTTTGGGTCTCGATGTGCACCTGCTGGAGAGACTGCGGCACAGCTGCAAATGATTGGATGCCCGACGAGGTCTTGTGCAGCCATAGACGGCCAGAAGCCTGCAGCAGAACATCGACTGGAGCCTCTGCGCTCTCCATTGTACGAGCTATAAACCCTTTACCCCTCTGTGTTAGGGTCTAGCCTTCGTCCTGCTACTCCTGTCTCCACCAAGCTTGTCTCTCACTTTCAAGAGAAGACAGGTCTGCGCTCGATCACACAGTTGATACAGCTATGCCGTCTCGTCGCAGCAAGAAGTATTGGGCTGTTCTGAAGGGTCGTGATAGACCAACTATCTACTCCTCGTGGTATAGTTCTTCCCGATTGCCGAAGAGAGCATGTATGATGACCGTCTGCAATAGGGCGAAGGCGCAGCCTCAAGTCTGCGGAGTTAGTAACGCACGTCACCGTGCCTTCATCAAACTGCAAGAAGCAAGGCAATACATGAATGATAACGGCGTCGGAGATGGAGACTACGACGAAGAAATCGGCTTCGAAAGCGAGCCTTCGACTGTTAGAGGTGGACATGGGAAATATTATGCGGTAGCCAATGGTGCCCTTCCAGGCGTCTACCTATCATATTCGTTGGTCGACCTTCGGAAAAGTTTGCTAGACTTGCATACTGACAGGATGTAGGGGTACTGAAGGTTCCCAGAAACAGACTGACGGATATTCACATGCCTGTTATAAGCGGTTCGACTCAGAAGCAGAGGCGGAGCATTTTATCAAGGAGCACACGAACGCGGTGACCGACATCGCTTCTGGAAATACTGGTCTCTTACCTGAAACTGGGCTGAGTCTACCATTAGAAGACGATGTTGATGGTTTGACCAATCGCATGGCGGCTACATCCCTCTAAAGAATTCTAAAGGCTGTTAAAGCAAATCGTGGAACAGTTTCTTCCACTATTTCGCTTAGAAGCGCTCCCGAACCTTGCACATGCAAGAGCCTGCAGAGTTTGCATCGGGACCTGGGTCCATAACGTGCTTATTTCAGCACATTGTATCTCAACAACTTGTATCCATCCAGATCACAGTTCACCATAATCCATTAAATCTACCTCAAGCGAAGAATGCGAATGTTCGAAAAGCCGCCGCAAGCAGCCTCTCGAGCTGGTTGAGACGATCGGTCAAGCAACGTCCTCCTCCTTCTCGTGGCCGCTCCCATCGCCCTCCGTGGGACCGGCTGGATCTTCTACAGATGTGTATGCGATCCAAGTCTGCTCTATAGTATTCCCGCCCAGCAAAGGCATGACCAAAGTCCAGAAGGTGGGTAATGGCGGTTGGATTTCTACGGAGACGAGGCTTACGGACAGCTGTCGGACTGTAACAGACGCTTCCTGGATGCTCTGTTGTGCCCCAGGCATCGACACGTAGAGCTTGACTCTTGGCGCCGGAGTTTGAGAGGTTCAATTACATGGTGGACTGTGGAGGGGGATATCGCTCGCTGAAGAGGATTCTTGGTGGAAAAATTGTGGACTGCATGAGCGATTTCGATGGAGATGAAGCGTTGAAGGAGTCAGAGTTGGCTTCGAATACAATGTAAGAGGCAGAGGCCGCGGATTGGCGACTCCGGCGTATCGGATAGCTTTTGTCCACTCGCTGCATGAAGGTGTTGGAAAGGAAACATCCATCCGTTTGCCTCTACCGATTGCCAGACGTGAACTTGGAATCCTTGTGTCTCATACGAATCCCGTGCTCCCACTATGGCCCCTCATCAAGTAAAAACCTCTCACCAACCACCTCCCATCCTCATACCGCATCCACCTCAACTCCGTCAAAGCCTTCAAATCAATCCTCTCAACAAACTTCATATTCAACTCCATATACACCTTCGCCGTCCCCTTCTTCACATCAACATATGCCTGACACCCCGTCGCCTCTAACCGACAATTCGGATAATCTACATGCTCTTGCGCCCAGACTTGGAGCAATTCTGCCCAGGTCATCTTCGACGGGTACGAATCGAGAACCGCGGTGAATTCAGGCGCTATCGTGGCTCTGATGGCCTGGCCGCGCGGGCTGGCGAAGTCTGCGTCGCGCTCGTTGAGAATGATCGGCCATTCGAGGGCGAGGCATTTGAGCTCCTCTCCGATGTCGTCAGGTGTTTGGGAAGCTGCGGTGCTTGGAGTGGTGTTCTCGGTCATGGCGATGCATGCTTCGCATCAGTTATGGCGGTGTTACATGTCGTCGTGCACTGGTGTGCGTTTGGCGTAGAAGCAAGCAGGTGAGGTCAGGTCGGTGAATCTTGGTGGTCCGTGCGCGCGATCCCTCCTTATATCAGCCTCACGCTGATAAGGTACCTGAAGTCTCTACATCCAGTAGCCTTTTCACGGCGGAGCGGAGCGAACAGATTGCATCGTAGCATGGGCGACTTATCTGCTGTGCCAGTCCGCTCTTCTTCCATCCGCCACTCGCCCGGGAAATGAGGAAAGAGTCCAAACCGCCACGCTGATATGGCATGAGGTCCGGGAGGCAGAGAAGACGCTTTTTCCAACCTTCCCCTTCTTATCACACTCCGACTAACTCCGCCAGAAGCTCAAAGTCCTCTCTCCAGCACGCTGCAATGCACTGATTGTGTAGTCAGTACTCTGGACGTGTTATAGGTAGACTCCTAGAACGGCGCCAAATTCCGCTAACTACACCGCCGATAGCGTCCGACAGGCCGAGTTCGCTCCCGTCACGGGCAGCCTCGCCCGCTTTCGACCTACGCCGCTATAAGGCTCACACTCTACAAGCCGCATGATGCATCGCAAAACGTTCTGACAGCAACGGTTCTGCTGCTGCCCACCACCGACAATGTCTTCGCCTCAAACAACTTACTCTGGTCAGATCGCTGACTTTGCCGCCAATCTCACTTTCGATGATGTCCCCGACGACGTTCGCTCTGTGCTCCCTATATTCCTTCTCGATGCCTTTTCTTCCATGCTGGCAGGTGTAATACAGCCAGTCTTTGTTTCTGCTGCAAAGGCTGTCCTACAAACACACTCTGCCGGCGACCTGCCCGCGATCAACAACGTCAAGACTTCCCTCTCTGGTGCTATGCTCCTGAATGGAATAGCATGTGGCGATTTCGAACTCGAACATGTCATCGCCAACGCCCATCCTGCTTCAGCGGTATTGCCAGCTCTGCTCACCGTGGCGGCTCAGGCACGTTCGTCTGGGCCCGAATTTCTGACAGCAATGGCGGTGGGTTACGAGGTAGCGACCCGAATCGGTGCTGCCAGCGGACATGAGGTCGAAGCCCTCCGAGGCTTTCACAATCCGGGACTAAACGGAACTATCGCAGCTGCCACTGCAGTCGGGCGGCTATTGAAGCTGGATGCGAGGAAGATGGCAAATGCTATGGGTATCGCCGCGTCGAGCTCAGCCGGTCTAATGTCCTTTGTCACAACAGGCGCGATGACCAAGCGACTGCACCCAGCACGAGCAGGTCAATTAGGCGCTGAGGCAGCCTTTATGGCGCGGGAAGGTATCGAAGGCCCAACAGATGTTCTGGACAATGCGCTGGGCTTCTTTCACGCTTTCTCTCCATATCCGCTGCAGCAGCGTCTGATCGAAGGATTGGGGCGTTCCTGGATGGGGGCTAAAATGATATTGAAATTGTCACCAGTCCACGCCTATGCACAGTTCCCCGTATACGCCATCAACCAGGCCCGCAGTGAGGCTACCACAGGGCTCCCAAAGCCTGAGGGGATTGACAGCATCATCGTAGAATGCGGGCCAAACACTGCGAAGCCGTCCCACCAAATCCCAAGCCCAAAGACGCTTGTATCAGCGCAGTATAGCGTCAGATTTGCCGTCGCAGCAGCACTCACCATTGACCTGAGGAACCCCCTGAACATGAACGACAAGCTTCTCGCCCATCCAGTCGTGCACAGATTGGCGGAAAAGACGAGTGTGAAGCAAGTGACGGACGATCGGCACGATTTGACTGCCAAAATCATTATCAGTCTCGCCAGTGGTCAGACATTGCATCTTCACGCATCTCGGTATCCGGGTCTACCGGGTTCGGCGGGATACGCGGAGGCTGCCGAGGACAAGTTCCAGCGCGTGACGAGTGCTTTGCGAATAGACTCCAAATGTGGTGAGCTTGGTAGACATGTTCGGAATGTCAGCCTGATAAGCGACATGAGCGAGATTTATCGCGAGCTTGTAGAAATGGCAGACTTGGCGGTAGCACAAATCGATGGCACTTGAACCGTTCACTTTTTCAGATGGATTTTTTATAACGTACTTGATGGGGAAGCTGCGCAGACGGTGAAGCTGCGCACAAGCCTCGAATCCTCGATACTCTCGACTATCTACGTAACGCTATAGTAATACAGCTACCTTTACTATCGCTATCCTCGTTCTCGGGTACCTCCTCGATAATGTCCTCGATTTCCGGACTCGGAGAGGCGTTCCGCTTCCGTTTACGAGTT